GTATAACATATTAGAAAAGATAACATATAAAATAGCATATAAGATAGCGCATAAAAGATAACATATAAAATATTAGAAAGAAATAAGAAGTAGGAAAAGAAAGAATAAGAAAGTTGGTTTAAATAGGAGCAGAATGGGAAGTGAATTCCACAGTCGTCAGATACGATGTAAAACTTTAAGTAAATTAGTTAATTGTGAATTTTATGAAGAATAAATAAAATACCCTTTATATGAAAATTAATTGTTTCGATTGTTTTTGTTATTATTTTCTTATGATGAAAAAGTAATTTTGTTTAATTAATCGTTAGTAAAGCGTAATGTTATTTTAAAGGTAATAGGTTCACCCTAAACTTTATTGTAATGTTCGCTTAATTAATTTTAATTGGATAAATTCATGGTGAATTTAATGTTATAACAAGAATTATGAAATGAATAAAATATAAACTTTCGTAAAGAGAACTATCGTAAATTTGAAGGAAGAGAAAGGATGAAATATCGTGGCGAGAGCTATCGCAATTTGAAAGTTAAGTAGTAATAAAACTAAACCAAGCAAGAATATTAATGTTTCGCTAAGAGCACATATAACAGAAGCAGGGAACTTTGTTTACCGCCGGGTGGCAGACGGGGGTGACAACGTTAAAGAGTTTCTTTCAAGGTTTCAAGCACTTTTTTAGAAATTTAATTACCAACTTTTTTCTTCATTTGTTGCACTATACTCAAACACTTTTCTTTAACTGATAACTCAAATAAATTTTTTAATATATTACACCTAGTCAAGAAAAAATTTTCTCCCCTCTTCCGATATTATAGCTCTATCAAAACCTTGCAAAAAATCGTAGAAAAAAAATTTCTTATTGCTGTCCAATCAGAGAAATTCCACATGAGAAACTGGATACACACAGTTCAACAAAGTGTACGTTGTAAAACATACTTAAAATTCCACAAACAAAGTTTCCAAACAAAAAAATTTGTATCTCAATTTTACTCAGCCAATTACAGAAAGTCATACCTAGCAAACAGTTCAGGAAAATTTACGGAAAAATTACTCAATCGCATTCTAAAGATCTGCTTCTTCATAATCATATCACTAAATATGTTAAATTCTCATACAAAAAATACAGATTTTATTTTAATTTACTTCCCAGCGTAATTAATTTAATTACGCCATTATACTCGACACAATTTATGGTTATAGATCATATGATATACATGTAAATTTCAAATTTTCTATTTATGATGCTGATCTACTGATCTGATCGGTTGATAAATTCGATCTTTTTTTTTAAATTATTCTTTTTAAATAAAATAATAAAATTACATTTAATATTAAAGATATAACCAAATTAGATTTGAACTTTAGCCAAAAATTCCAGGATTGTAAGTTAAACTGGAGAGTATTTGGTTCTTTAATTTGAGAATGTTACTAACGTTCCTATCTTTTTTTTCTTTAGGGACATTCTTCTGGTTGTGGATTCCGTTAGAATGAAGTAAAGACGGCCTTCTGGACTTAGATTTTAGCAAAATTAGGTAAGCTGAGTTTGTTCTTTATTGTTTTTATCTGAAAACGTTATTGACGTTCCTTTTTTTTATATTTTTTAGGTTTTTGGCCCCTCAGAGTAGTGTAATATATGATAAGAGGAGTTTAGGTGAATGTATGGTTATGAAATGGCATTATGAAACAAAACTAATGCCATTTTTCTTTTATTTTTTAGATTTTCAGCATTCTCTTGAAGTGGAATATGGTAAGTGTTGTTTGGGTAGATAGTTGTGTAATGGCATTATGAAACAACAACTAACGGCATTCTTTTTGCATTTTTTAGATTTTTGGCTTTCTCTTGAAATGGAGTGTGCAGTATTTTATTTTCAGGTAAAGATGTGTTGCTGACTGTTACGTATTTTAATCTATAAAGAAACATACTAACTTCTTTTTTATTTTTTTTCCTTTAGGCTAAGATGAACTGGACTTTGAATGTAAATTAAAGAAAGGGGAACTATTTCTTAATATTTTTTCAGGTTGTCAGACTTTTGAATGAACCAAAACCTTTGAGAGAAGATTGAAGCAAGCAGATGATGGCAAAACCAATAACAAGAAAGGTTGAATTCAAGTCCAGGTACCTGAAGGACATGTGAGATCAAAAGAAATTTTTGTAGGATATGTAATTCATGTTAAGAAGACGTAGTAATAAGTAGGAAATTTATAACATTGTTGATAAAATTAGGTCCAATTAAATTAGCTATAGAATTTTTACTCATTTTTTACATCCATGTATATATAATTTTTATTTTTATTCTTTATATTTTTTAGTATGGTAGCATATTATAAAGTGAGACGTACTTAAGGTTGCTTGCCGAAACCTAGGGGTTTAGGCAAGATGGCGTTTCGCCGAAAAGCGAAATTCTGCCAAAACTATATTAAAGTTATATTAAAAAACTGGCGAAACTTCGGAGAATGGCGAAACTGCCGAAACTTATTATAAATGCCGAAACTGCCGAAACTCTGCCGAAACTATAATAAATCTATAGTAAAATTTTGACGAAACTAATCGTAGGATTTTAAAGAGGTTTAGACAAGCAACCTTAGACGTACTGTTTAGATAATGATGTGGATATTAATGACGTAAAATATTTAAGAGTTTGCCGAATAATTTAATGGATGATCTGCAACACACTAAATTATCCGGCAGTTACTAAACTTTTAAAGCTTAATTTAGACTTTAGTGTAACTTTATAGACTAAAAGTTTAAATATGACCATTATTAACTGATCGCGTTTATATTTTTCTTTTTTTTTACTTCATAAAAGTTTTACTGCTTATATATATATTAATATTCTTCAATATAATCTCTTTAATTTATATATCATAATATATAATAAATTTTTACATGGCTAGTCGAAATCAAGGTCGAGGCAGAGGTAGAGGCCAAAGTTGAAAATAAAAATTCCAGTAAAGTTCAGTGTAAAGGTCATAGTCAAAGTAAAAATCCTGATTTAATAGAGGTAGTAGATAAAACAATAAATGATGAGGCTTTGAATGATAAACATAAAAGGTCAATAGTATCAAGTTCAGATGATAGTAATAAGGATGAGAAAACTAAAAAGAAAAATCATCATAATTACCATTATTAGAGCGAAATAATACTGGACCTTTTCATTTGTCACTTTTTACTCCTACTTTACAAAAAAATACATTAATCTTCACTCCAAAATCAACTTCTTTCCCTAAGTTACTTTTTTCATTAATTCAATGTAAAAATACTACTAAAAAAACTTTAATTTATTATGTTCTAATGATAAGTTTGAAGAGAATGATGGTAACCAAACTGATGATTCCAACAAATCTTCTCAAGTTTCTGCAAATGAAAATGATTCAACCTTATTACACACAAATACAAGTATTTTTATTTACAATTCTTTATTTTTTTTTTATATTTGTGTATATGTATTATATTAGAAATTAATTTTTTTAGCATCAGATTCTCGCATATTAACGAAAATCCTTGAAGTTGTAATGCAGAACTAAAAAGATCTTAAATTTCTATCAACCAAGGTAATAGGATTAGAAAATGATAACAAAACTTTCCAAAAAGAATTAAGTGAAATTAAAGATGCTATTGGGTCAAGTGATAAAAGTTTAAAAGCAGTATCATCAAACAAAAAAGGGCACAGTTGGATTGATGTAAGTAATACTAAATGATTATCATAATGCATATACGTTTTCTCATTAATAAACATTTTATTCGTTAGGTTTATATTTCATATATTACTGAAGACTATACAAATATCCAACAAAAGAACAAGTTAAAAAGGCTTCCTTGCATATATTAACAAAATTTCAAAAATTAAACTAATAATGATATCTAACAAGTGGGATTTATTATTTAAGAACGGTATACTTTCAGCAGTAAGTTATCTATTTATAAGTTAAGTTGGTCTGAATGAAAATTCAAGTGGAATTAAAATAGAAAAGAAGTCTATTTTAATCAACTTCAGGTATCTTATTTAGTATTTTAATAAATATTGTATTTTGAATTTGCGCTTAATTCTTAACTTATTTCATTATTGTTATATTATCATAGAATGGTATGCAGAAAGATTAGGTAGAATAGAAAATTATTATATAAGAATATATAGAAAAATATATAGTGGTGCTAATTAAATTTGTATTTTTAAATAAAATTATTTGCGATTTTATATATTTTTAAATAAAAATATTATAATTGAAAGTGTAATTTTACGTATTTTAAAATGAAATATTTAGTGATTAATATATAAATATATACAATATTCTTAAGTTTTGCACAATATTTTACATAATTTTATATTGTTCATGATCCCTATGGACTATAAAGATTTTTATGTATGGCTATATAATATAATATATATTTATTATATAAAAAAAATTCCTGATGTTTTAGCTTATATTTTTCTTTATAATTTGTTATATTATATTATGATATTTATTATATTACAAATCACAATAATACAATCAAATATATTATTAATATTATGATAATCAATAATTATATTAAAAGTTTCTTTACTACATTTAATAAATTAAAGAAATATTACATTAAAATATATGATATATATAATTATATTTATATAAATGTATACCAATATTGTCAAAAAAAATATCAATAATATTTAAACAATATTTAAATAATTCCTAAAAATTTGTAATATGTTTAAATATTATAAAAAAAATTTATTATAAAACTATAATATATTATGTACTTTATTAAAGTCAACTTTTTTGAACATCAAATTTTAATTTATTTAAAAAAATTACCATATATTACAAGCTATAGTACTAGAATCTGTTTATTTATAAAAAAGTCATTATAGAAAATTAATCCTTTACTGATGATTTTACCTTACTTTTTTCTTAAATTTTATTGGTTAATTAGTTAAAAAGGAAAAAAATTATAACAATATAACATAAAATTTTTTTTTTATAGTAGAATTTTCAAAAAAATTTTATATATAATTTTTACTTTAAACCTAAAATAGAATAACCTATCTTATAAGTAAACAGAATCCTATAGTACTTCCTATATATAGTATTCAAAACTCTGCTTATTTATAAGATAAATTATCTCCAGATTTAAGATAAAAATTATATATAAAATTTTTTGCAAATCCTACTATAAAAGGAAATTTATATTACATTGTTATGATTTTTTTCTTTTTAACTAATTAACTAATAGAATTTAAAAAAAAGTAAAGTAAAACTATTAGTAAAGGGCTAATTTTCTATGGTTGTCTTTATTATAAATAAGCAGAGTCATTTAGAGGACCCTAAAATATACATAAAAGGGTTAGGTTAGAGTTTGCATATAATGTAAGGTTGCTTGTCTAAACCTCTTCAAAATCCTACGATTAGTTTCGTCAAAATTTTACTATAGATTTATTATAGTTTTGGCAGAGTTTCGGCAGTTTCAGCATTTATAATAAGTTTTGGCAGTTTCATCTTTTTCCAAAGTTTCGCCAGTTTTTTAATATAACTTTAATATAGTTTCGGCAGAATTTCGCTTTTCGGCAAAACGCCATCTTGCCTAAATCTCTAGGTTTTGGCAAGCAACCTTAGTATAATGAGTCAAAAAAATTATGTAGATCATTCCTTTTATGGATAATCCCAGCCAAAATAATATTTCCTAATTTAGATAATGGCTGAAATTATCGTAATTCTGGCCCTGAAAGAATGCATATTTTGGACCACTGACTTCTACATATATATTTTGGGGTCCTTCATTTAGTATTCCCTTTTTTTTTTATATAAAAAAAGTTCCTTTTTTTATCAATTTTATTATTTAAAATATTAAATCTTATCTAAAAATTATATGTAAATAATTTTTTGATTATTATATAAATTTTTGAAATAATGCTATTATACTGCTATTATAATAAAAATTTGAATTATCAATGTAATAATACAGAATTAACTTCCTGATATTTAGAGTATTATAGCTTACAGTATACAGTAATTTTTTATTAAATATAGTAAAATTAATTATTTTCAATCCTTTTATTTTAGCTATTTAATTAATAAGTTATTCAGTAAAATCAGTAACAACTTATATATAAAATTAATAATAATTAACATTCTTATATGCAATACAAATGCAATAATTTTACCAAGTATTAGTTTTTTTTGCAGTTTTTCAATAAAAGTCTTATAATTAAAGGACATTTTAAATATATTGCAATATTTAAATTTAAAAGTCTTTAATTTTAAAAAAAATAGATGTTTTATAGAATATTAGATTATAATTAAAAAAGATTTGCAGATTTTGGCCAATTTAACTAATTAGCTAAAGTAATTTCCAATAGTATTTTATTTGCTAATTTTAACTATTAGCTATTAGCCAATTTACTAATTTGGCTAATTAACTAAAAATTTCTTGGTTACAGTTAATTTCTAATACTACTGATTATTGCATCCTAAAATAAAAATTGGTTTTCCTTTATAAGATTTCTCACAATCTAATTAAATGTTAAAATAAAATAAGAGAATAATTTAAAATTAACTTTGCATAAATAATTCTTTAATTAATAGTAGAAGTTATCATTTATTACAAAGTTAGAAATACAGTATTATTAATATTAAGAGACAGATCGTCATTCAACAGGAGAAAATGATCGACATTCTATAATTAATTTTATGAGCTTTGTAATTAATAAAAAAAAATTTTTTGGAATTTCTTGTTCTTTACTATAAATTTTTTTCCAATAAGTGAAAAAAAACAGTATACAATAACTTTCATGTCCAAAAAAAATATTTCATAAACTTGCACTATAGGTATACATATGTAGTTTTAGTAGAAACTGTACAAGTTTAACAAAGAATGTGAATATTAAAAAGATTCAAATAAAGCTAAATAAAGATTTAAAAACTAAATAAAAAACCAAATATAGCTTAGTTACAGTGAAAAATGTTCAAAAATTTTTCATCCAATATTTGGGTTAATAGGAAATTTACCATCAGAATCTTGCGTTCCTACATAGAAAAGTCAAAGACGTGAAACTCTAGCGATTTCAAACTTTGCAAGTGGCTTAGCTAGGATTGTCACTATAAATTACCATCTTTAAAATTTGTGTATCATATCACATGATGATATGACAATCTGGTAAAAAAAGAGTATTAGCCATTTTTAGCGATAATTTGCATAAATCGGCACTATTAAAATTCTCCGGTTGAGTGGCGATTTATCCCTTAAAAGTAATTGTATAAATAAGATCTCCAATCTTTATATTTAGAATTATTTATTTTTACAACTTTAAAAAGTCTATAACCAGTTATAATTTGACTAATTTGTGTTTTATTTATTTTTGACTATTATTATACAGATTTTTAAGACAAAATTTCATTTCTTTTAATTTTAATATTTATTGTATAATGAATTAATTCAAAGTGTTTATTAACTTTAGGTATTCTTCTTGAAATTGTTTTAAAAATAACTTGTTTGTTAAATATAGCCATTATTTTATTAAAAAAATATATATTAATTAGAAATTTGATATCAAAACTACTGTATATTCAAAAAAATCATATTTTTTAAGTTGATTTGTTAATTTTTCTAATTTTAATAGTATAGGATTAACCTACTATAAAAATGTTATTACATTGATTTTACAAAATTAGTATTAAATACACAAATAACAAAAGAATAATTTTATTAGAAAAGCAAAAAATAGTTCTTTATATATATAATTTACTTAATGAATTATTACCTATAATTCTAATTAAATTATCTGTTATAACTACACAGTGAAATTCGATAAACTAGATTTTCAATAAGTCAGATTTGGGTCTAAAAATGAGTCGATAAACTGGATCACGTGATCATAGACCAATAAAATTTAAGTAACGTGATTTGATAAATCTCAGAATTATATAAATCGAAGTTATATATTACTTATATTCAATTAAAAATATTTTATATATTCATTTTTTCAATATATCGAAATTTTTATCGAATTTCACTGTGTAATTCCTAAGTCTTAAATATTACAAATTTCTCCTTTTGAAAAATCATATCCTTACGATTCCTTTATATTTGGATCCTTTCATACATTATATATAAAAATAATATATTTATTTTTCCTTTGATAAATTTTCATGTTTAGTTTTTCTTTTATATATACCAATATAAGGATAATATACTGTATATTGTGGGCTACAGTATTCTGAGTATCTTGCAATTTTAGTAGGGATGTTAGATTGCTTAAGCAGTTCAGTTCGGGTTCTAAACCCGATTAAACTAATTTGAATCCTGCTCTACCTAAACCCAATTTTCGAATCATGTTTGAAACTATGCTTATAAGTGTATTAGTAAAGTTTGCTTACTCAAGCAATTAGTTTAAACCTGATTTAATAATATAATACACAAAATAATTGTTTTTATTTCATTTGTGCTCAAAAATTGATATTTGAGCATATTGAGTTTAAATACTATTAGTAAAATCACATGACCATAAAACTCGAGACCATCCTTAACCTGATCCACCGGTCCAGATGCTTATTCTGGACCAGTCAACTTTTGATTGGCTAATCAGCCCTTTTATTACATAACTCCGGCATAATTTATTTTATCTCTTACTCTCTATTCTTTTTTGTGGTATGTTAGTACTTAGTATTTCATATTTCATTTCAGTTTGCATATTTTAATTTTAATTGTATTTATTGTAGTTTTATGATAATACTAAATGTTTTTTATTTTCTTTTTGAAGAGTTTTATGATATATTGATATTATTCTGGAAATCAAGTGTTTTTTTTTTAAGTTTTGGGGTTAAGCAAAGTTGTTCAAAAAAGGTTGTAAATTACACATTTATAACAAAACTTTTAAAGCTAATATAATACTATTACTTTGTACTTTTGTTTTGATATTAACGTTAAAATAATTTTAATAATAAAATTACAGTAAAAAATAATGTAAAGACCTTTTTTATAAAGTTATATATGCAATTTTACTTATTTATTAATAAAGTTTAATAAAATGCATACCAAAATACAAATTTTAAATAACATATTACTTTAAAACGGTAGTATTAAATGCTTTAAAAAAAGGCATTTCGTAACTTTTTTTTTAAAAAACGCGAATTGTTTTTTTTCCAAGACAAATGTTACACAAAACAATCTCATCCAATTAGATTTGCTGGTCCAGGATAAGCATCTGGATGCTCATTCAAAGACCATGTTAAGTTATCGTCTGCGATACGTTATAATTGCTTGTGAAACTTTATGTCGTACATGATGGCATCAAATACGAAGGATGACTGAAACAGCAAATCAGTAACTAAATCGCGTCGTCCCGGTTTGCACATGGCAGGTTCTAGGTTCAACTAATACAACTGAACCAGCTTATCCCGCATTCACAATGTCGTGAGAGAATGGCGTGACTTCAACCGAAGTGTCATTTTGAACCGTCATATTCCGGGAGGACAGTTCCCTGTATTCCCAGCTAATGCAACGAGATCTACACGTAGAAGACGATGCAAAACTTCGTTTTTATTCTAATGTTTTATACCCAGTTGAAGCACTACTAGGAGGAGCAGAAACGAGATTTACTGGAATGTTGGGTGTTTCCGATTTCATTTTATGCACTAATAATCCCACAGTGGGCTTGATGCCTGTGGAGATTAAAATGTTTCACAATTTGAGGTTAGGTAGTTATAACCTCTGGGAAGTTTATCGATATGCTGACCGGGCTCAAATAACGAATCGAGATTTTAGGTTTAGAAAAAGGATCTTATCTCGGGTGTTTGGCGAAATGGCCTGCAATGGCCCTCATTACGGGATCTTGACAAACTATTCCGATACGTACTTTCTCAGACGACCGGAAAATGAATCAAATAACCTATATGTTTCTCGTGTTTTTCATCCTGATGGTACCAATCCGCTTTACGCGAGTGTGTTTACCACATCAGTCACTTAGCTATTAATGATACCATCGATAATAGATTGGATCGTGTAATGGATGACAATTTTACATCTTATGACGATGATTATGACAAAGATGACGATAACGATGATGATCCTGGTGATGATCCTGACGATGATTATATTCCTCCTGGTTCTTCTAGTTCAAAGAAGAGGAAGAGTTCTTCGATTCAGACCGGTAGCAAGAAGAGAGTGACCGCGCCATCTTCCAAAGGAATCACTACAATAGGTAAATATATAAGTAGTGGAACCTTTGGAAAGGTTTTTTCTGGCTATTATGATGGTCAACTGTGGCATGGAAGACTTGTGATGCGTACAAGGAGCAAGAAGCGACGAAAATGCTAGAACATGAGGCTCATATTACTCTATTTTGAAAGAATGTCAAGGTACAAATTTTTTTATTCATAATATTTTTTAGATATTATTAACTTATCTATCGTAATATTGATAATAGGTCGTGCTGTTCCACGTTTGCTCTATAAAGGTTACATTTATGACGGATATCTTTTTGCGTTAGTATTGCAGTTAATTGAGGGCGCCCATCACGTTGATCCGAAAAGACTCACTAAAGAGGAAAAAAAAATAATAGTAAGTCAATATATAATTGCGGCGTCCTTCACAATGACATCTCAAAGCAAAATATTCTATATGAACCAAAGAGTCGCCATTACTTTTTTTATTGATTTTGGCTTGAGTGAGATCGTGGATAATGAGTCGCCGAAATTGCGCAAGGAAGAAATAAGATTAAAAAAATTTTTACGACTTTAACTATCTGGATGTATAGTGTTTATGTGAGAAAATTAGAATCAATTATAATGATTGTTCACTTCGACCAGTTTGTGGGTACTAGAATTACTTAACTAGGATTATTCTTTATCAATGATAATGTATTATGCTAGAAGGCTAGATGGAACATAAATAAATTTTTTATTACAAGTTACAATGTATATATAACTTTTCATTTTAAATATTTTAAATCATAAAAGTGTAATAAATCATGATATATTTGCGCAATTTATTTTTTCCAATAAAATTAAAAAGTATAAAGCTTTATTTAGGCAAAATTTTATTAAATAATAAAGTGAAGTAGCAAGCAAAATGTATGATGCTATCAAAGAGGGAGGGAGTACGCTGATCCAGCATACATTATTTCTTCTCTCACATTTACGAAAAATATCTATAGCTAATTATTTTGTTTCTATTGCTAATATTGCTAATTACGAGATTATACCAGTTGGTGTGCATGTCCAAATTAAAAAATCGTGGGCTCAAAATGTGGGTGAAACTTTGTTAATGCGTTGTTTCATTAGATGCAAATTTTTGCTTTCTCATTATTTACATATGCCAATCTTTTCCTTAAAATCTTTAATCCACTCTTGACAATCTTTAGGAAATAATATGCTTGCATTCTCCATGTCAATAATTACTCTTGGTATCGCTGGTATTGCCTTTTTCTCTTAGGATTGATTACAAGGATAAACAACAATTACTGGTAAACATTTATTGGTTTTCCTGTCATAGAATATAAAATGATGGCTCTTTCAACAATAGTAATAATAAAAGAAATAAAAAGTTAAAAGTGTTGAATATAAATGTAGAAGTAAAATTAGGCGCGTATGTCGTAAATACTTCAGAAAAGCTTGTCTCTCCAATTTTCATAGCATTGTTTTGATTCCAATGTGAAAACATTTTAACATAAGAAGGTCGCTCAGAAGGATGTTTTTGCAAATCTTCAAAGCCCGTGTAAATACTATATTCTTTTCTTGGTAAACTGTCAGCACTGGTTGTAAGTTTAGTAACGAGTTCATTTAGCTGTTTTTGGGATCGAAATGCTCAGACTTAATGAGATAATGTATCCATGCCCACGACCAACAATAGCGACCCTGTTAAGAAACTAATTGTAAAAACTGAAAAAGATTAAATTCAGCAAATCGTTTTTCTTCTAGAGGAAATATTCTCGTTGCCAATTCGAGTAATTCACCAGAGGTATCAATTCGACCAAATTGATTAAAGGTTGAAACACTATAGAAAATCAATTAAGTTATCCCAAGTCATTGGGACCGGCAGAATTAACTTACTGTAGTTCCTCCTTTGCTTTTGTAGATATTTTATCATTTGCTCGCAATAATGATAGTCCAGACCCAGTTATGCAATCAAATGCTCCTATAAATGAATAACTTAAAGTTGATAACACCGAACCACTATGGAGAAAAACCGTCTTGCCCTATCTTTATTAAGTTGTACAGGGTGAAAGAGGCCTTACTGATTATGATTCTTTTGAAAAGCATATAAAAGAAAATCTAGCAAACAGTATTCTGGGAACCTCTGGTTGTGGCAAAACTCGCTTATGTTTTGAAGCTTTATGCCAGAATTATGGCCTATACTTAATTGTTTTTCCATATAGTGTTGGATCTGTTGACTTGGAAGAATCAGCACGTTGGGCGAGAGATAAGATCCAAGATAAACAACCCAAAGAAGCATTGCGGAGCGGGCAGTAATGAGTTGCATTGTTAGACACCTGCTCTTGCTTAAACATCTCTTTAATGTAGCTGGACAACATAACACTATAATGGTGCCTAAATCTTGGTTATTCCTTCAGCTCAGTCACATCATCATTAGAGAGCTATATTTAATATTTCGAGATGTGGAAGTTCTTAACTCATTTTGTCAAACTATTTTGAAGGACATTAAAGACAAATTTACGGAAATCTTTCCAATTGTATATGATGAGGCTCAATCTCACACCACTTACTTACCAGAAACATTCCCTTTTGTTCAGGAAGGTTATGCAGAAGCAAATTAGGTTCTTTGTTAGCAACCGAAATCTTTTTATCATCAATGAATTTTTTGTTACAATTTTTTTCTGGTGCCTCAAAATATGAATACGATTCGTACGCGTTTTTTGCAACGTTTACTAGGTCCTGAAAATATAAATCAAATAGTCTTTCAGCTTCGCTTATTGCATCAGCAGTTGATTTTGATGAAAGTCCTGCATAATATAAATGAATGAGTAAATTTGGATATTTCGATATTATTGCAAACTGACAATAGTTTTTATTACGCATTCTTATTCGCCTCTTTCTTTCAAGATCTAGTGGTTGTGAAAAAAAATATGATGGTGAGAAAGCGAAGATGACGATGAATGATAGCTGAAATTTCTTGTTCGTGAAGTAAAACGTTGGGAGACACTTACCATCAGTTGTGGTTGAGATGACAGCAACAATGCTGATGTTATCTTCCTCCTTAGGTTCATATCCCTTGAAAATAATTTATAAATTTGCTTTGGCAATTCCTCCAAGGTTTTTAATATCTTCTTGGACTAAGCACACTTTCATCAACGTCAACCTTCCAAAGATTCAATATATCAAAATCCTTAAACTTTCCTTCATGAGAGATAAGTTTCGCGAGTTGTCCAACTTTTACATTCTTAAATTGATTTTTATTACCAATTTCGAAAAATTTCTAATTGTCCTCTTCTTTTTCATGAACTTCAACCTGGAAAACGTAATTATTATCTAGACGCAAACAATTATACGATCCAACCATTTCGATCATGTTTCTAGAAAGAAAGAGGGTTGAGGGTATATATGGGTATATAACTGGTATATATATATTTTATTGAATACATCGTGACATAGACTCCTGCTGTCCTGCATAAACTTTTGGTGACGTAATAATATAGATCATGAAAAAAAAAATGATTCTCCGAGGGTATTTATTGAAAAAAGTTTAGGGTCGTACAAGTGGTGATTTTTTTTTTGAAAATACTCTAAGTTTATTTGTTTTTTATTCACATGACTTATAAACATTTTTTAAAAATACGAATATGCTAATTTACTATATCATACAGTAGAATGAGACGCAATAAAAAATTTGTAATAAAAAAATGCTTAAACAAACTAAAAAAAAAATAAATCTATAAAATTTCTATCAAAAAAATATTCCAAATATTTTTAGAAAATTTCTAAACAAAATCTGAATAATATTGAGATATTGCTTTAAAGAGAGAGTTCAGATATTGTTATCTATGTAAAAAAAAATATTATTATTATAATAATTATAATAATAGTCATAATACTCAGAAAAATAATCATGATAATCATGATAATGATAGTGGTTATAAAAAAAACCATTATAAGGAAAATGTGGTGATTGGTCGGTTAAGTTTTGACTGTTAATTTGAGGTTTTTGTACACGTTTACTTTTTTGCTTTTTTAATTTGCTTTTCAAAATTTTCTTTTTTTTCGTAGCTTCTGACAACTCTTCATATAATTTTATGTAAAATGTCTTATCCTCGCTTGGTAGCCGGTCCCATTCTTCAGATGCAATAGTTGCATTTGGATATCTTTCTTTTAACGTTTCCCAACTGATTGCTCGAAAGATTAAAAATCCATCCGGTACATGATTATCTTCAGATAACTTGATAGATAATTGTGTATATACGTTTCTAATTTCGTTTGGGACGTCTTTCCAACGACCGCCAGTTGCAACAGAATAATTCTGTTGCTTAACATTTGGTGAATTCTTTTTGTAAAGCTTCCAGGTTAATGCGCGGTAGATTAGGAAAGCATTTGGAAAATGTTCCTTTTTTTTGTTTGGGTCGCAAATAATAATCATTTTGAAGTATGAAATTGACGATGAATCAAAATACTTGCTTTTTATAAAGAAAAAAAAAAAAAAATTATACCGAAAAGATTATAATGATAATCGGAATTGATTTTCCAAAAATTTGCAATTCGATGATATTATAAAAATTATGCGCAGTCTTATATATGAAATTTGATTAGCAGATTGTCTTCCTGATTCCAATTTTTGAAATTTGATTGATGTTCATCTTCCTAAATAAACAAGTAATCGACGATCCAAATAATGATCGAAATCACCCTCATTTACAATATCTACTTAATCAATTTCGGATATAATTAAATTAACTCGCAATTCATATTCCGTATTTCACTATAACAAAAAAGTCACTTTCTTTCCTGATTAAACAGACTTGTGTAATTTTTTTTGACAATATATTAAAGAAATTATTATTGTGCAATATGATATCAAACTTTTCACTACAATGAACAAAATATAGACGGAAAACAATATCCTAAATTGAAAGAAATCGAATATCAAATTTTGTAAGTACAAAAGCTTTTAAAGTATGCATTTGATCTTAATAAGCTAAAGTATTTGCATAAAAGATATTGTAACGTAATTTTCCGGAATCTACTTTTTGAAGGCGGCTGACAAAAGTCATTACTATGTTGGAACGAATTCCGATTGTGCACAGTTTACCGATAATGCAATTGAATCGCAGAATATTCTTAATTCTTACCTTTTTATGATTTGTATCATGCACATTATAGTATTATTAAAAATAAATTTGGTTAAAAAATATGCATTCATGAAGAATGCAAAAAAAGGTGATTTTTAGTTTTTTTGTAATCGTAATAATAAATTTTCAAATCATACAAAGATAACTTATTCTTATTACAAAATATTATTTTAAATCAAAATGAAGTGAAAGTTATGAAACTACGATATATGCTCGAATATATATTCGGAAGTATTGACATCTATAATTTGAAGATTTTTGATTGGAATTACAAGTGTCTTACAGTCTGTTTATATTATTGTAGTGCAAGTACGCTTTTTAATAATGGATCAAAAATGGTTAATGTATTCAACGAATAATGAAAATTCTACTATAAAACGGTAATATAATGAAACCTTTCTTATTTTTTACTATGACAATTTTAGTTAGTTGGAGAAAGATTTCCGTTATATTTATATATTTATTTAGTATTATCATAAAAGAAAACATAAAAATACAATAAAGTACATAAAAATACATAAAAGAAACATATAATCTTAATTTAAAAATCTTAGTAGTTTGTGTTGTAATAACGACCGAATTTTAAAAAAAGGAAATAAGGATAATAAAAGAAAATTCCGAACGAAATCTTGAAATAACGATAACCGAAATAAATAAAATAAAAATAATGTCGTATTATGGTAATTTAATTTTTATCATTATTATTAGATTTATCAATATTATCAAATAGATCTAATTTTGACGATGGAATCATAGTTTGTTTGCTTATATCAATAGGTTCTTGAATATAATAAAAATCACTATCTATTGTGAATTCTTTAAATAAATCTTCTTCATTGATTATTGGAACAGTTTCTTGTTTGATATCATTATTACGATTGTCATAAAAATATTGATCGGAATTTTGGCTATCATCATCATCACGAAGATTAACGCCATGACAGATCGGCGTCTCGTTAACGAATGCAATATTACCAAATTGTTCAAAAGATTTTATTGTAGTACCATTTCCACCAGAAGCCATTTCTTTCTCTACGTAATCTTTTGCGGCAGCTTGATAATATTTTCTTTTGAATAAATCACTTTCATCTTGCCATTTTGGTGCAATAAATCTTGAATAATCCGTCATCTTTAGTTTACTTCCATGATCAATATTATCTTTTCGATAACAAATAAACGCATTCATATGCCTTACGGGCTTGCTCATTATATCTAAATTTTTTTTTTTTGTTTTTTTTTTTTGGATCAAAAATAAAAAAAATTCTTAATTTATAATTTTTTTTTCAAACCTTGTTATCAGTTAAAAATAGAATTTCAAAATAGAACTTCTGCATATTTCGGTTATCGATTTTTCTGTAAAAGAAATTTGTTATTTTCCCATCTTTGATTTTGTAATTTGATTCCGTTAAAAATAAAAATTTTAATTGGCTAATTATAGTAATCAAATAAAGGAAATCTTAGGTTACACCCATTATGCAAACATGCAGAATAAAATCCAGATGTCAATTTAATACTACCATAAGTTTAGCTGACCCATTCATTCTTTTTGATACGAATATGCGATGTATATGATAGCATTCAGCCGAGCATATATTAAATATACATCTTTGTTAATATTACTACATTTAGATTCTCATTTTGATAAGGCTGATGTTCTTTAATTAGTCACAAGCCACAGTTCGACTTTACATATAATATACATAAAGTAAATATATGGATTTAATTTAAACCAAATTATATTACAAGGTCGCTTAATAGCATTTTTGGTAATCCTCAATGAAAAAAATAATCGTCGTATGTAAATGATCTTTGATTCGCCTGTTGCGCCTCCTTACGTGTCATAAACGGGATTAAGGAGCACGCTTAAATAATGAAATTTTATAGTTAACAATTAAGTTATTGTCCCTTAATAAGGTAATAAAATTATTTTACAATGAATGAAAATATAGGAAAGACTTTTCCGAAGATTCTTTATATATACTATAATGTAAAATCCGATTAAGAACATTGTTATTTATTTGGTCATTGTCCAACCATGCGTCAAATTTATCAATTTCAAATCTCACTCCGAATACATTTAATTAAATTGCTTGAATCTTACTCATAATTATTATGTCACCGAATTTCTTCGAAATAATGTTTAGAAATTATATTTATTTAATAATTGTCATATGAAAAATTCGAATATAAATACTTCATTGATTTTCACACCTCTTCTCAGATTTAATTATCTATTTGTTACCATTCATTAGTTTACAAATCATGAAAGATACATTTCCCATGATACCACATTCCTTTAACACCAACACTAATACACGAAAAATTAAAAAAAGAAAACCCAATGCATTCATTCTTTTTCGTAATGATTTAATAAAAAAATATAATATGAAAAACATGAAAATGAAAGACTTGAGCAAATTGGCTTCCAGTAAATGGAAGGAATTAACGGAAAATGAAATAAAGGAATGGGAGAAAATGTATCATTTAAATAGAGATCGTAAGGATCTCATTCAAAACTCTAAGGATTGCATTATCCAGGTCGTCAATACTTCTAATAATTCGCCTGCAACCATCAACCTTACGCAAATTATTAGTGCTTCTGAGATTGATGATTTTAATTTTATCTGTGTTTGCGGAAATAGTATTGGTAGCAATCCAGAATGTTCGAATTGTACTATGATATAAAGTCAGAACCCGATATAATGAACCCTGAAAAAATCGCTATATCATACACAGTATAAGATAAAATTTTTTAAAAAATCGTTTTTATTTCGCATAGTGAGTTCTGATTACTTCGTCTTTATTATATATAATATTTCCTTTTTATTCGAAATTGGCACACACACATATATATATATAATTTAATTTTATTCGATACTTTTTTTTCATCCGGAAAAATTGGCAAAAAAAAATCTGAATTTTATCGACTCGTTTTCTTTTTTTTTTTGTTCCTCGATAATAAACAAAAAAATATATTTTATTCGTGTTTTTTTAATTATTATGAAATAAATTGTTTTTAGACATTTTCGGAAAATTTCTTGTTTGCAAGTAATAAACTTTAAATTTGATCCAATCATGCATAATAACAGATAATTAGTATTGTACAAAATAAGACAATGGAGTGTCGGGGATACTTATTGACAATTGAAATGACATCATTATAACATTATTGATTTATTTTCGGAATTTTTTACAGTGTACTCCCATTTGACAAATAGTACGTCATTGCATTTTACACGTGACTTATTAGTTGCATATGTATTATATATGCATTATCGACCGTAGAAAATATGTCACATATGGAGGAAATTTTTTTTTATTATTTAATTTTTTTTTGGTTTTCCAGCAAAAAAGCAGCTTTAATAATGATTTATCAGGGCTGGCAAATTTTAGGTTTTAACTGTGAATATAATTACGCTAACTTCGAATTATATAGTGAATTTGGTCGATCAAAGATTTGATTTACTAAAATGGAAGTTCGATCAATCCCGTCAATTTCGCCAATTAGCCGATCGGTCCGATCATGTAATGTCACACAATAAAGAATTCTAGAATCATATGAGCGATATCGTTAATAAAATATTTATCTGCTTATAAATTATAATTTGTTTATTTATTAAAATGATATACTGATAAAAAAATCAATGTATAACTGCAGTGTAACTAAATAACAATGATTTTTTTAAAAAATTTTGCTCTTATACATATTTATAATTAAAAAAGGTTAGAAGTAATTTATAAATAATTTTTGTGGAGAAATACTTCCATTATTTTTAACGACTAAAAAATCATACTACTATACATATATATATAAAATTCATAAAAAAAAAAAGACCTTATATAGGAAATTATCTTATAATAGGGGCAACTTAATAAAGTCAAACAAAATTTTTAAAAAGAATAATAAAAAAGACAATAAAAAGATGTTTTTGTCGATAAAATTTATTTTAATTTGAAATCAGTGTTTCGAGTATATTTGTTAAACAAATAATCTTCCTTGTTTTGAATAATGGGACATTCAATCACGAAAGCGATATCACCAAACTGTTCGAACGATTTCTTAGTTAGGCCATTACCTCCGAAAGCAGCTTCTTTATCTAAAGCTTCTTTTACGGAAGCCTGTTTAAATCTTCTTTTTTCTAAATCGGTCATGCTTCCCCATTCCGGAGCGGTAATTTTTGAATGATCGGTCATCTTACGTTTATTTTTAGGATCAATCTTGCAATTTCGATATTGAAAATAAGGGTTAGCGGCCCTAAGAGCTCTTGTTTTTGATATTTTTACGCGTTTATCGTTATACATCATGATATTATAACTCGAATGTTAAATATAATGATTTATTTCGTGCTCAAATGGAAAGAGGTATTTACTTAGTTATATATATATATATTTTCCAGCATAATAATTTTAATTAAATAAAAGATATGTTAAAGAACATGTTATTATGGAATAAAAAACGTACATAAATTCCGTACAGCCTAAAATAACCCAAGACAATGAAATATAACAATTTTAAATAAGTATTTTATAACTTCACCTTTCTTCATTATGGTTGTTGACCGAAAAAATGTATGTTAAGATGGCCATGATAATGCCGATCATTTCCATTTTTTTTCTGTAACTTACTTATAGAAACAATTTGCCTTGATCTCAAAAAGAAATGTAAAACTATTTACGCCTCTTTGCTTCTTACCAATAAAGTAATTCAGTGAATGAATGTTGTGTGATTGCTAAAAAAAAGGGGATAATAAATTTTACAATGATTTTTAGTTTAGGTTACATGAAATAATTAATTTGACTCTTTTTTACTCAACCTAATTAGGTATATTCTTAAGTCGACCAAACAAAAATGTTAGCTTTCATTAAAAAGTGTGTGACTCAATATGATAAAAATGACATCACTGTATCATCACTTACACATAAATTATGTCCGATTTCCGATTATATAATATAACACTCCTCGACTTTACTACTAAAGCCTTTTTCTTTTTTTTTTTTCTAATTTTTCTAATTACAAAGATTATTTTACCTAACGGATTTGGTGTCTTATAGATTGATGCTACAAAAACTCCGTATTGTTGTTTCGCAAATTTATCAGATATGAAGTTGTTTATTTGTTTTTATGAATTGAAAAATTCAACAAAAAGAAGGGGTTATTATCTCGCCAATAATGTTATATCCATGTATTTCATAGGGTATTATTATTGTTGTTGTGTTACAAATGTGACTTTATGACGCGATTTTAATAATTTGAACTTTTTGAATTTCTTTTTTTTTTCTTTAAAAAAAAAAAAACAGACGTATTCATTACACTTTTTATGGAAGAGAACTTTCATAAATTTTGTAATCAAAAGAAAACATTAAGATCAAAATAAAGGTAAACTCATCATTAAGGTCAACCAATAAACCATTAATTAGCAATACACTATTGTATGATTGGTGGGATTGATCGAAACATGATGAATAATAATAAGTCACACAAATTAAACAATAGTTCAAAATTTTATTTATTCTTTCCTTAGACGAAGAAATAGATGGGAAAGCCCGTTGGAAAATTATCAATGCTCTCTGATCATATGATAAATAAATTACGTATTATCCTCCCCAAACATATATTTAAAATATTAAATATATGAAATTGATGTATTACTTTTGGATTAACATATGGTCAAACAGGATTATGGAAATTCGAATATAAAAAGTAGAGAAAATGAGCTTTCGTTTCGATTTATTCTTTCTTATTTCAAAAATATATATATATATATACATATATATATTTTACGTATTTCGTTCGTTCGCTTAATTTTATAAAATTACCGATTCGAAATTTCTTTATTATGAGTGAATTCCACGTACATCAATACGTTCAGAGTTCGAATGGTTTTGGAATAGCTGGAAGGAAAAAAAAGCAGCCAAATCATTTCCTGTTATTTAGTAAGGAATTAAGAGAACATGTTCCAAAAGGATTAAAAATACGAGCATCACAATTAAACAAGTTTGCTGGTTATTTGTGGAAAGAAAAAATGACGGAGGAACAAAGAGACATCTGGAAAACACGCTCTCAAAGAGAACAACTGACTCCAGAAGATAAAGAATTAACAGATCATGTTCGAAAAAATGCTGCGAGATCTTGTGCTAACCGATTAAGTAATTGCTTCTTCAAAGAGTTTGTAAAGACCCAATCAGTCTTAAAAAATGATTGTTTTTTGACGGATTCTTTAGAACTTAATTGGTCAATTTAATTCATTCGTATATTTTCGTTTATTCCAATTTTATATTTTCGATTTTTTTTTAATATATAGTATATGATATATATATATACTTATATATATGTATACATACATTCCTTTTCCATTTCCGTATTTAAGTTTATACTTCTACATTTCCGTATTTAATAAATCGAATATTTGATCAAATATTTATGTTTAATTTATATAGTTTATTTATAGTTAAGAACATTATGATTTTTTAAGGAAATAAATATGTTTATGTTTTATGTCATACAAATTATCAAAAAGTTTATTTATTGTACCGTAATAATAATGAAACCGGAATTGATTAAAATCCGAAGGTTACACTTTCCGTTAATCTAAGTGATAATGCTTGATTTTTCAGCATAGTAATATTTTTTTATGGGAAAGATATGCCAAAATTAGATGCTTCATTTAAGACTAAATCGATCAATACATTAAATATTTATCTTTTATGCCATTTTATTGATTTTAATATAATTTTACTATTAGGTAATATTTTAGCTAGTAAGACCGAAGTGTATTAAGTCATAGTGGTCGGTATCAATGCATAGAAGGTTCTATATATTGCATTATTTTTCTTTTAAATAACTAATTATTTGTTTCATTAAGCGTCGTATAAAATTGCCACCAATTTATAAAAGAAATATATGAATTACAAGTAAGTGTACTTTATTAAAACTATCCTAATTACTTACTAATCAAGAACATTTTGTTTTAACCATATTTAATCCATAGACGAGTATGGTCACTTGACAAACATCGCATTACAGTAAATGCTCGTGTGAATCTCTAAAATTTTTATAGCCAAATCTTAATGGATTGGTAAATGTGCAATTATCCCGTGCAACTAATTGTACTTGGTTATGTTGGGAATACCTTGGTATTTGGTAGTTGGTATGTTTTATTTTAATCCTAATTATCATTTTCAAGAAGCAAAAAACAGATTCCTTATACTTTACTTTAATTATTTCATTCAAAGATGCAAGAAATACTAGAGAGGTGTCATAAAATGTTTAATTAGGTGTATCGTATTGCGTGAGTCACATGACGCTAAATTGGATTTAATCGCAAAGTAGTCGTGTCACACATTGCCTATACGAAGGTAATATACTCGAAATAACAGGATTACAGGAAAAAATCTTGTGCAATTAGCATTTCTGCCTAAATCCAGGTCGTTTTCTGGAGAGAACTTTCTAAATTACTTTTTCATTATAGCAGCGATAATTGATTATTGCACATAGGACATTCAGAATGTAATTCTTAATATATGTCTTTTTTGTTTACGATTTTACATCTTGAAATCACGTGCGCAGCATATTCACTGCTAATTAAGTAATTAACTATCCGTTTGTTCCTTTTTATCATAAACAACAAAACAACAAACAATTTATCGTTTACAGAAACTTAAAAGTTTTATAATACAAATAGATAAAAAAAAAACGGTTATATTTTATTTTGATGAGGATACCATATCACTGACCAAAGCCAAAGGTACGAAGTATGCTTTGCTTTTGTGCAACAGTTTGCCACCAGCAAACTAAAATTACTAATTCCAAACTCATAATAAAATAATATGATTTAAATATATTTAGAAAATGAATTTTGCTTAAATTAACTTGTAAGTATATGATTCAAATTAATAATGATAATGTAGTTTTTAATATTTTCAATACTTGAAAGTAATAATACATCCTTGATTAATAATTAATACTTTTAATTCATAGTAATTTATTAATGCAGTATTTTTTGGGTTAATATAAAGAGAATATATCTTTTAAATATTGCAAAAATTTTGCTTGCAATTACTAATATACATGAATATGTACAGAACTATTAGTACTACCAGTACGAATTTGATTGTGATTGTTTCAATAAACTAGTTTCAATAATTCAATCCCGTTCTTTGTTGCCTTCCCAGCTTCTTTAACCCTGATATTCATCAAGAATCTGGCCCGTCCGTGGATGATCCACGTTCGACATAATTCTAATCTCTAAAATGTAGTATCGATTAATATAAATAAAAATGTACAATAAATATACTAAATACATAAAAGAATTTATTTAACATACTGAAAATTATTTTACTGAAAACTAATTTGAAAGCGAGTTTGGTCTGGGCAATATGTTATAATCAATGTCATATCCCTGATCATTCTGAGGGGGATGAACCTCTCTATTTATTTGGTCACCATGGTTTGTTGCCCTTCTTCTACGACCTCTACGACCTCCACGACCTCCACGGCTTCTACGGTTGTTGTTTATATTTTGTGTTGAAGTTGTTGCAGGACTTGCAGGACTTAAAAAGAAAAAGAAATATAAATTGAAAACTTCATATCCATCATTAAAATTATATGAATATTTACTTACTCATTCGTTTTATTTCTTTGCATCTCGTTGAATGCTTTTTCTTTCTCATCATCCGAAAATTCAATTTCCTATATTTTACAATTTTATTAATCAACATTGTCACGTATAAAGTGTTTCATAAGAGAAATTTTTTATAATCTATTGTTAATGCAATACCTCCTCATTGACCTCTTCATCAAATGCATTACTTGCATCACACCCTTTATGCTCAGATATCTCCTGAGTAAATACAAATTTTGACAGTTCATCAACACCGAATACCTTTGCATCCCTTACGACTTTCTCCTTGTTAATGTCATTAAAACGAACAACATACATCGGATGTGCCACAGGGCCTATCGTTTCAAATATCTTATAAGCGAAAAATAAATTGATATTAAGAATAACAAAATAAATTCAATTGAAGAATGATCTTTAAAATTTTTACCTCACCAAGAACTTCTTTATCTTCTAATACCAAAACTGTTCCTACATCCAAAATTTTATATTCACCGGTAGCATTAACTTTAATAACTATTTGGTCTTCCACCACATGAAGTATTGAGCCGATTTCTGTTAAATGCATATCAGACGTTATTTCTATCGTAGGTTTGGGGATTGTTATATCAATAATCTCATTTTTCGTCCGTAAAGGTCCTGAGCTTAGGCCCATTTCAACCTCATAAAATGTCTTATCCACGGATATCATAGCTTGCTCAAAGTCATCTACGTCCGCCATTTCTAACTCAGAAACACTAGAATCTTCACTTGAAGAATCAGATTCCGAGCTACTGTGAAAATATTTTATATTACATTAGAACTAAATGTTTAATATAATTTAGTACATATTTTGTGTGTATACCTTGTATCTGTCATTGTTAAAGTCAATTGTGTAATTGAGGTGTAGCAAATGATAATAAGAATTAATAAAAAGCAAGCAGCAACAAAAAAAAAATAAACAGATGAGATCAAAATCACGTGATTGAATTTATTACATAATATAAGATTGGCGTTATTGTGTTACCTGTCAACACATAAATACGTCTTTTGATATTTGAAGTTGACTTATGAATCAATGGTTTATAAATAAATATCTCATAATTGACGAATTAGCCAGTCTTATAATTAAGGTTGACTATTATTATACTATTTTTAACGTTTAAATTATACCCTTGCATAAGTTGTTAAATATATAAATTAAGAAATTACACGTTATTAAACATGTCCGCAGACTTGCGACATTCAATGTCTCCTGATATAAATTTGCATGAAAAAGCGGGCATAAAGCAACAACCTGGAGGTCGACTATCAGCACCCCCCGCAATGGAATTCTTTGACTCTGAATCAAATAAAGTTGATCGATTAGTTTTGAATAAATTTACATTATATGAGACTAAAACAGTAAGCTGTCAATCTTAATTGAATTTTATTGTTTTTTTCGATTGAATGCTAATAAAAGATCAATTCATCCATTTTGACATAAAAGAATTATTATATGGTGGGATCCAATCAAAGTGACAGTAGATTCCGAATATTGAAAATTGATCGATCCACGCCTACAGAACTTACTGTGATTGAGGACGATATTATATATTCTAAACAAGAAATAAATGATATTTTAACGGCCCTTGAAGAAGGAAATAGAGTATCAGGAGGTTTAAACAAAGTTATAACAGCATATGGAATTGTTGGTGAGTTGATAAAGAAGAGTTCTGCCATTGTAACGCATTAACGCAATACTGCAAGAGAACAATCTGAGATAATCTTTTTTATTTGTAATAACAGGATTTATTAAGTTTACCGAGGGATATTATATCTCATTAATTACAAAAAGGAGTGCTGTTGCCTTAATAGGAGGTCATTATATTTATCATATTGATGAAACAGTTCTTAAACCAATTGCCCAAGGAACGAAGCCTGAAAAGAATTCATCTAAGAATTCGGATGAACAAAGGTAACTAAAATTATTTTAAATTTTTATATCTATATTTCATATCAAATCAACTTTTTTAACAAATTCTTTTTTAATTTAACAGATATATAAATATTTTCAATAACGTTGACTTGACGAAAAATTTTTATTTTAGTTATACGTATGATATTACACATACATTACAACACAATATGACACGACCGCCGAGTCGTAGGAATTTTTCTTATAATGAAATGTTTGTTTGGAATTCTTATTTGTTAGAAAATGGATTCAGAAGTCTAAAAAATAATTCTGATTGGATTTTGCCAATTATACATGGATTCGTCGATCAATCGAGTGAGTATATCTGAGTAAACTTTTATTTCTTTAGTTAAAAAGAAAAATTAAATAAACTTTCTTAATTAATGATCAGAAATATCGATTTTCGGACGAAATATTGTCGTGACATTGATTGCGCGAAGATCTCGTTATTTTGCTGGAGCTCGTTTCTTAAAACGTGGTGTTAATGATCAAGTGATTATTTCTATTTAAGTATATAATGCTCTATTTTCATTTACGTATATTTGTTCATCCTTTCATATTTTATTCTTTTTGTGATTATTAGGGTTATGTCGCTAATGACGTTGAAACAGAGCAAATCGTATCAGAGATGAGTACAACTTCATTTCATCGATCCGGGCTCCATGATAATCCGTATTATACTTCGTATGTCCAACACCGTGGATCTATACCATTGTTTTGGTCTCAGGATGTGAACATGGCTCCAAAACCCCCTATAGAAAGTGAGCTTTATTCCTAAAATTATTCAATTAATTTTAAAAATATTAACTTTCTAATTATTATCATAGTAAACTTCCGAGATCCCTTCTTTGCTGCCGCGGCATTGCATTTCGATAATATGTTTAAACGATATGGAGCGCCTATAATTGTCTTGAATTTAATCAAGGTTTTTATAATTGTGGTTTTGTACTTTGTTACTACAAGCAATAATTAAATTTACCAATAGTTTCAATTTTGTTATAGACAAAAGAAAAAACCCCACGTGAGGGGATATTGGGAGATGAATTTTCTGAGACTATGACTTATTTAAGTCAATTCTTGCCAGACAAATGTCTAAAGTATATTGCATGGGATATGTCAAAAGCTAGAAAGGGGTAAATATGTATTTTTTTTTTTTTAATTTTATATATTTATTAATTTTTAATAATAGGTATTATTTACTAATTTATTTTATTCACAGTGATGACGATGTTGTAGACTTGATGGAAGGTTTTGCTGAAGAATATTTAGCCGACACTGGATTTTTCCATAGTGGACCAGAGGCATGGATAAATGTTTTAAAAAGAGAAGAAAAGTACGTATAAACAAGAGAATATATTTAAATTTTTATAATTAATTCTCTTTTTGATTTCAGAGAAGGAAAACCTCAAAAACGAAGAATGTGTCTTCGCCAAAATGGTATTGTAAGGACAAATTGTATTGATTGCCTGGACCGTACAAACGCCGCTCAGTTGATTATTGGAAAATGTGCTTTAGGACATCAAGTACTTTTTGTTTATTTTAATATTCTAAATTTTTAAGTATTTCAATTAAAAACCTTTCACGTTATATTTATAGTTATATGCCTTGGGGATTATCGACAAACCTTGGGTTTCGGTAGATTCTGATGTTGTGAACATGTTAACAGATATGTATCACGATCACGGTGACACAATAGCATTGCAATATGGTGGATCAAATTTGGTTAATACAATTGATTCATATCGTAAAATCAACCAATGGACAAGCCATTCTAGAGATTTGATTGAGAATTTAAGGAGATATTATAACAATGCTTTTGCTGGTATGTTAATTTTGCTATGCTAATTCAGAGAAACCTCGACATTTAACTTAAAATGTTTGTACGGAAATTATTTATGTAGATGCCGAAAAGCAGGATGCGATTAATCTTTTCCTCGGAAATTTTACCCCGGAGAAAGAAAAACCACATTTATGGGAATTGCCAAATGATTTTTATTTACATAATGATGATCCTCGTTTTAAGAGGCAACGTAGAAGGTAAAATATATGTTCCTTTAATACCTTTATTCTTATTTATATTTGTATTTATGTCCAGTTAATTTTACTATTTGTTATGATGAAGTTATATACATTGGTGGACAAAGGACGTTCTTCAGCCAAAAGATGACCAACAACTTGATATCTCAAGATATCAACTTGTTCCACGCATAGCACGTCAATTTGATGATGAGACTGATCCATATACAGGGTATTGGGTAGAATATTATCGTCCACGGTTATTTACTTCATTTGAGAAATTATTTGCCTCAAATATGAATAGCACAACGAAATACATACCTTCGAGGTGATTTATCATATTAATTACTTTCGCTGATATATAATATGGTTATTGATGAGTAATATATATTATTTATAGTGCTGAGCTCGGAACATATGATTATAGCCCATTTGTAGTCCGTACAACTCCACAAGCAGCAAAGTACGTATTCATAAAGTTCATAAAAAATACATTAGCTTGTAGCCAACTTTTATAATTTTGTTTATTAATAGATTGATGAATATTGGTGGTGTTAAAAAGTGGCTTGCGCTACCAAATACTAAACCAAAGGAAATAATTGTTGAAGAAAAAAAGAAAATTGAAGAAAAACCGAAGAAAGAAAAGGATAATCTATCATTAATGGAATCAATAGTATCAAAAAGTTTAAATCCAATTGTATCTTCCAATGAAGCCGAAGAGTACAAACAGTAAGTTTAATTTATCATTGTTTTATAATTAATTTTTTTGGTAATTAAAAACTTTTTCCTTCTTTCATTTATAGATATGTGAATCAGGATAAAAATATGGTTTTAACTTCAACACCAAATGGAGATACAGATCCTTCATTGAAGAGTCATTCGGAATATCACCATTATGCAAATTTTTGTTGTCGTGGCAATCTTCCAAATCCGATAACCGATTTAAAAGTACCAAAAATAGACACCAAAATTTATGATGAATATCTTGAATATCCTAGAAAATATGCTATAATAAAAGCAGCTGGCTCGAGTCAATATGACAGTAGCGGTGTAGCTAAAAGTAGATATCAAGCTTATGAAAGTTGGTTAAAAACTGGTAAATTAGCTGTAAATAATAGTGTTATTAACAATAAAAGTAAAGGAAACGAAAGAGGTGTAAAAAATTTATAGATTAAGAAATAATGAAAAAATTTTTTGTAAACTTAGTTATTATTTATTCTTATTGCATTCGTAATTAATATATTTTTGTTTTCTATTGTATAATAAAGTAGTATATCATATCTAATAAATAAATATTTTAAATTAATAAGAAAAAAATCGATAGGGAAGTTTTTTTTTTTAAATTAATTATATCAGATTATTTAATTAATGGTTATTATATGTTATTATATATAATACAAACTCACATATAGTGAGAGTATATATATTAAATACTTGTTACATGCTTCTCTTGTCACTTGATTTACAGAATTAATATAAACGTGCGTAAAAAAAATAAATTATCCATTATTACAAATGAAAAGTAGATTTAATACGATTTCATTATAAAAATTATTAATCGTTATAATCGTTATATATTTTGTACATATTGAAAGTGAAACGCTATATGAGCAACATTTTCACCATGATCGTTACTAAGTTATTTTATATAGATCTAATACGACTTATAAAAAATGATTAATCGTTATAATCGTTATATATCTTGTACATATTGAAAATAAAATGCTATATGAGCAACATTTTCACCATGATCGTTACCAATTATCTTTCCCCCACCTCCAATAATTCCTGATAACCTAAATTCATTATGATTTCCAAATGGACCAATTCGAATCTCTTCAATTATTTTGCAAGCATTAGGATGATCACCCAGGGTTCCCGTAGTTTTACCATCACTAAAAATAAATTCTATACCACAAAGTAGCCCTCTGCCAAACTTTAAATTTACAGCTATAATGTATTTTGAAAATTCATCCAGATCTGAAATGGCACATTCTCTTCCGCCTTTTCCATCTCCAATTCTTCCGATTCTACCATCTTCGTAAAAAATTTGCATACTATCAATTATTGAACCATTCCTTAATTTAATTTTTGTGATAACACCAGGATCATCTTCAGATATATTATACAATAATTTACTATTATCATCAAAGTTGTGTTGACCGTCGGGAAAAGTGTCAACTCCATATGGTCCGATCCAAAAGCCTCTAATATTAAAAGGTTCACATGATGATTTATTATTGGGAATGAATTTATCTAATGAAAAAATGGGTAAAAACATTTTCATAAGTTCTGCTTTGGCCTCATTTAGCATTCTTAATTTGATAAGGTCAAAGACTCTCGTAAAAATTTGTTCACTAGAAGATTTTGCAATGTAATTCACCGTTTTATTACTAATATTATCTTTAAGTTCGCCATTAGCTCGAAACGAAAAGAGTGATTTTGAGTTTGAATCATTAGATATCAAAGTTTTTGTTGTTATTTGATTCATTCTCCACATAAAGAATTGATCGAAAGAATCCGTAAAATAACTTTGATATTGAGAAATCATTTTTTTTAATTCATCAGTCCCGAAATTTGGCTGAAAAAAGGATAATGTTCTTTTTTTAAAAGAAACATTTTTTTTTAAATACAAAATATTCTGGAATAAGAATTATAACATTACCATTTTTAATTTTATAGATTCTCTTAAGACAGTAAGATGCACAATTGCAAAAGTAATAGCTAAAGGTATCAAATATGTGTTACTCTCATTCTTCAAAAGATCTTGGAAAAATGAATTACAACTTTCGACAAGCCTTGTTATGTGATTAGCTCTTTTATTTTTTTGAATGACCAAATATTCCAGAAGCAATTTTTTAATAGGTTGCAAATTTTTTATCTGATTATCAATTTCATTAATATATTTTTGGCTAATAATAACTTTCACTCTCCCATTAATTTGTGTGAAAATATTTTCTTCAATCATTTTATCATATTCTTCATATTCAAGAAAAAATAAAATGACCAAAGTTGATAATAAAGGAATAGTTAAAAATGCCTTGTTAGTATTCACTTTATCTGCCGATAATTCTTTCTTTTTACTGTAAACTTCCTCAATTACTTTCTCACAAGATTCTAAAATTTTATTTTCCAATTTTTCATTTTCGATTTGAGCATGTAACCAAGCGCGGGCTTTTTCAATTTGAACTATCCATTTTCCTAACACTTTATTGCAGTAGGCTATTGTTATGAATGTGTTCCATACTTTGGTATCGAATTTTCTGACACGTTCATCAATAATATGAATGGAAGATGAAATATTTTCGATTATAGTTATGCCAAGTTTTTCGGTAATTTGGTCGGATATTTTTTTGTATGATCCATCATTATTTTGAGTTTCAATGACTTCTGTGATATCTTTTTCAGTTACAGCTCCTTGAATTTTTTCAACAATCACTTGATCCGCTTTTTCTTTGATCACTTTTTTCACTTTTTTCGTTGCAAGATCAACAACAGCTGTATCGGTTTTTTTAAGTAATTCTTTAATTTTTTCATCACTTCCTAACTCAGTCTTCAAATATTTTTCTGCTTTTGCAACTTTTTCTTTCAATTCTGGTGAAGTGTCAGTAGACGATGTTTTTCTGAGGAAGGATAAGATTATAGCGGTATCGAGTAATTTTTTGTTCTCTGGTGCTTTCGTTCCTTTATTGATGAAATAAGTTTTAATAGATGAAACTAATGATTCATTAGATTCAAAATCAAGCGCCTTAGAAACGGCGTCAGGGAGTTTTAAGGATCCATCTTCTTTTTGGGATGATACTATTTCTTTTGCTTTTTCGGTTGTGGTAGAGGTTTTGACAGTAGCCATGGCATCTTCATTTTCTTTTTTGACCCTTTGTTCAATAATAATCTTTTCCGAAGTAGTTAATAGCTCTTCTACTAATTCTATGTCTTTGAGATCTCCGATAAGGTACTTTTTGGCTTTTTCAGATTGTAATTTATGTTGATCTCGGGATTGAGAAGTAATAGCTAAGTAACGGAGTGACAAGGCTGTTTCCCATACATCTTTTGAGATTTTTTTTAATTTTTCACTAACACCATAAATCTGAATTGATGATTGTATGTTGTCAGAAGAGATATTAATTTGATCGGAAATGGTTTTGTTTAAATTAATAGAACCATCGGCCTTTTGGTTATCAACAATATTTTTGACTGTTTCAAGAGTGTTTATTGATTGAAGGATAGTAAGAGTAGCAGATACATCTTCACTTTTATATTTAAGTACACCTTTGAGTGTAGAAGACCAAAAAGATTCTTTCTTAATATTCTTATTAATAACTTTCTCAATAATTGCTTTCTCACAAGATTCTAAAATCTTATTTTCTAATTTCTCATCACCAATTTGAATATGCAACCAAGCGCAGGCCTTTTCGCTTTGAGCTTTCCATTTTGATTTATGTTTTCCTAACACTATATTGCAGTAGGCTACTGTTATGAATGTGTTCCATACTTTGGTATTAAGTTTTTTGACACGATCATCGGTAATACGAATGGAAGAAGAAATATTTTCAGTTGCAACTATAGCAAGTTCGTCGATAATTTGGCCGGGTAATATATCGAAAGAACCATCGTTGTTTTGAGTTCCAGCAATCTCTTCTTTAGCATGTTTACATTGGAGGATAGATATAAAATCTTTCATTCGTTCATCCCACAAATACATTTTTTTTTTTAAAGAAAAAAAAATTTCTGTTATGGAAATTAGATCGATATCATGTGATATAATCAGCTACAATCACACTAATAGGGCAGTGACATTTATTACGTAATTTGAAAAGCTTTATATTTGCACAAATATATTATTTATTTTGTAATTTATTACATTTTTGTGCTTCGGAGCAAAAGTCTAACTTGCATTATAAATTATTTATAATATAATGTTAAATTGAAATTAATGAATATATTAATCTAGATGACTAAAATTGTAACAATTTTTTTAATCTCTTTTCCTCCTTGTATGTTTGCAAGCTTTGAAGGTGAAAAAGATGATGCCGAAGTGGATTGAGAATTTTCGATTGCGTTGAAGGCGTAACTTTGTGATTTAGTACCTATGAACTTAGCTTAACCAAAAAGAAATGGCGACTTTTTGGCTCAGAGGGAATATTTCTCTGAGAAATATCATTATGTAAGACGCCAAAACTGTATTTGACTCCAGTTGTTTTACCATTGATTGTTTTTCTTCTATAGTAAGTACTGCTGGATCTATATAATAAGCATCTTCAATTAGTTGTAATGCCAATGTATAGAGATAACCGTCATAAATATATCCTTCATAGAACAAACTGGAATAGCGTGTCCTAATATTGCAATATAAACAAGTTAATATCAATAAATATCACACGAAAAAAAGATTCATACCTTGACATTTCTTTAAAGTTGAGTATATATTCGCTTCAACCCTTAACGTTTCTTCCTTTCTTTTTCTTTATCCGCATCACAGGTTTTCCAAGTAACAGCTCGGCCATGATATTTGCCAGAGAAAACTTTTCCAAAAGTCCCATTCATCTATAGTTGTGTCGTTTGGAAGATACGCAAATCCTCAGTGATGTTACTGATGTAATATTAAGGTTATACACGTACAATTAACTTTGGTATGCTGAGGATCTTTCACAGTAAACCAAGTTCTACCCATTCAATCAAAAGTAATGGATCCTCATTATCATCATTTTTATGTCTTTTTAACAATTGTTTTGCCCAGTTAGGCCATATCAATTGGATTTTCTGTTTAACACGAATTTTTATTGAGAAAAGAGAGGGAAGGGGGCCAAAATAATTTTCAAATTTTTTAAAATTATTAACTATCAAATTTTGAAAATATGAGGGGAGAGGAGTAAAAAACAAAAAAAATAAAGGCCTATAACATGAGTTATAAAAGAGTTTTTTTATTGTATCTATAAGTACTTACATGAATGGTAGCACAAACTCCGCTATCAACTTTTTTTGCCATGGCTCTTCTAAACTGTTCAACCAGCTGAATGAACTGAAATAAAGATAAATGTGTAGTAAAGTTTTCAAACTAGTGAGATAGGCTGAACTGATAAATAGTTTTCAAACAAGTGAGACACGCTTAACCTACTTTGTAAATACTTCTGTTTCATAAAATCAAAATTTTTGAGGGAAAATTAAAAATTGATGATTTTCCTTTTTTAATGCTTATATAAACTTAGAATTTTTGAGAGGGGAATTTTGTTAAACAGAAAATCAATTTAGTTCAGCCTTATGGAGAATGTCTACAGAGGTTTTACTAAAGTTCTCTAAATTTTTATCTATCAAGGCAATTATTTTAGTTCTAAACTAACAAAAGAATATGCTTAAAAATAACAAAACTAACCTTTTGAGGTTTTATCGAATAATTTCTTTATGTTTAAAATATTTTTTGGCATGGTAGAAAATTTGTGAAAAAAAATGCTAAGTTTATTTCTTTTCGTCAGATAAATGATTTATTGACTATCCATACTGCGGATAGTAAATTGTCCAATCACTGAATTGTAACACGAGGAACCGGTTCAGTCGTTACGCGAAAGCCAATCATCAGTATTTAATTACTTTTAACAGGTAGCGTAATTTTTAAATCAATGAAATACATTTTAACTCCGAAAATTAATACTGTTTTATGTGTTGAATATATTATTTTTATCCTTCTTTCAAATCAGAGCAACAAAGATAAAAAAAAGGAAGAATAGGGTATGTGATATTTTTCTTGCAATTATTAAGCCATATTGTGTATATTATATTATATTATTAAATAACAAATATTATTACAGCATCTAATTTTCAATGAGTCTAAGTATATGCTATATAATTAATATGCAACATCTATTAATTAGACCATTACTAATCATATAAAACACTAAGATTTATCAAGCATATTACGGGAAACCCAAACAGTCCCTCCACTACCTCCAGACATGCAAGAACTCAATGAACCGTCTGACTCAAGTTTCATTGGTACTAAATCTGATTCGTATCTGACACAATTTTCAACCATCCTCCTTATTTCTGATTGCTTTTGATAATATTTTTCGTGAGAAAGCATTTCATCTCCCGTCAATTTGTAAACGTCTTCAGCTTTGATAGTTCCGCTAATAACTTTATTTACAAATTCAGAGTTTCTCTTGTCTCGTAGATTCCAAAGCTTACTTCTACAACACGTTTTATATTTAACATCATAAGGACTTGATCCAGTGTTAGTAAAAATACTTTCTTCGATCTTCTTAGCAAGTTCTGCCATATTAAGTCGTGTTATCTCGTTGTCTCTTTCATTACACGCATCCAGCAATGATTGATAAAATAATTTTAAACCTAAAATGAATTTTATAAAGTTAGATTAAAATAACAAACAACTAATAAATAATTATAAATTATTTTACAGTTATCCCGGATACCGTTTCCGGTATATAAGTATTTAATGGGAAGATCCGGTCCTGTAATTGTCAATGCTGGCTGACAGTCAGCAACAGTACTTGTTGATTTTCTAACAGGTTTGAAGTAAATCTCTTGCTTTACTTGTTTTTTTGATATCCTGCGTGGCATGGTTAAAATATAGAAATTTTGCGGATTTTAGAACTTTAGTGTTTTTTGAGAGAATAAAGGAAGCACTTATGCAAAGAAATGATCAATAGAGAATGAAAAGTGTTGAATTTCGTCGTAATCATTTTTTCAGAATTTGGATTCTTTTTATGGGGTTTTTTTCCATGCTCGCAAAAGTTTATTAATAATAGAGATGTAATGAATTGTTATAAATGTATTAATAAAAGTTTATTTTTCGTGTCATTATATAAAAGCAAGCTTTAAGCTTATTCATTAAGAAATTGATGATCAGTACACTAATAGAACTACAGTAGTCTCAATTATAAAAAAGCGCGTAAACCGTTTATTGTGTATTATAATTGGATATAAAAAATTTCTAAATAGATAAATATAAAGAATTAAACTAATTCAATATTAAAAACTCCTTTGCTGACAAATAAAAAAAACATCACAAAGTTTTTACACTACTGCTGAAAATATTATGTTTGAAAATATTGAAAAAGTGAATGGATCTTTCGGGCACTTATGTACCGTAGGGATTACCAATCTAAATAAATCAAATAAACCAACAAAAACAAAAAAGGATCAAAACTACAAATATACTCTTCCATCCGAGAACAAACAAACATCTCCTGTCCAATGTTGAAGACAAAAGGGCAAAAGTCTCGCAATTAGTAAACTGATATGTAACACGTGATACGAGTTAATAATGTGCAAACTACTACATAACTCGATTTTTCTATTACATAAATTACAATATTGAACACCGAGAAATATATCATTCGGTATATCAAAGTTCATTTTATTTTTGAGCATTACGTATTTACTACAGTAGACTTGATAAAAAAATGTTAAAAAATAAAATTAAAATATACATCTTTGGTCGTGATTTATTTGATTAATTAATATTCTATGTCACGTGTGTCACGTGAATGTTACAAGTTGGCGTATTACCTATGTCTATGTATTACCTAGGGGATAGATAAATAAACGGGGGGGACAACTCGTGGTTACACAAATATATGGATCACGGATTGAACTGAAGCCATATATAAATTACTATAGTTTACTATAGATGTGCGAAAAATCTGAAAATCCCAATGGTCTTATTTTAATAAAAAAGTGATAATTACGATATGATACAATCACACCATGACGGCACATTGCGAAGCTATACATGATGTGAATTTTATCGCCTTCGCGTTTCTAGTTCTTAAGATATTTAGCATCAGCTACTTTAAGTACCTCAAAATTATATAAAATTTTATTATATACTTGAAAATAATACACAATAAAGGAAGTAAACACTATTTTTAAATGTTTTAGATAAAAATATTTATAATTTTTTTATTAAGATCTTGTAAAAAAAAAGTTTAATTTTCTAACTTTCTATTATCAAGTGGTAAAAACATATAAAAACTAAGAACAAAGCAACCAGTGGTCATATTTGGATAAAAAAACTTCGCTTGTATAGAGCTAGCACGCACAACCTTAACTCTTAACATCAGCTGCTCTTCTATGTATGTGTGCTGAGAAAAATAAAAAAAACTAAAAATTTTGCGAAATTTAATATGGATTTTTTTTTGTGTAACCAATTTTATGTGACTTCAGTTCTGTCTTGTGATCATAAATATGTGTAACCCTGAGTTGTCCCCCCGTTTATTTATCTATCCCCTAGGTATTACGTGAGGTATGCACACGTGATAGTGATAATATACATGCACACGTGAAGTATTTTCATTATTCTTCTTTATGATAGGCTGCTAAAATATTTTTAAATTGTGTATCACAAGCGTTAAACCAATTAACATCCTCTTGGGAAGCAAAAGGTAAAATTACCTTTATCAATTCCTGAGAATGTAAAGAAATATCATTAACTTTTGATTCTATAGCCATTGAATCTTGAGGAGGATACAAACTTGTTCCCAATTCATCTGCAGCATCGGAAATCAATTTACATAAATCCATATATTGATCAAGTGTCTGATTAATCTTTGTTAATGATCTATTTCCATCAGTTTCTTCTTTTTCATTTGATGAATTATATGTTGGTAAATCCAAAGGTACTATATATCTTTTCAACGTTTTGTTGAAAAGTCTCTTCACCAAATCAAATAATTTTAAAGATAATTCAACAATTTCTTTTTCTTTCGTTGATAATGTTACATTAATAGATTCGCCAAATATCTCATCCCAACCATCGTCTTCATCTCCCTGATTATCCTCTTGATCTAATAATTTTTTGATTTCTAAAATAGCATCCTTCAATAATTCTAACCTTTCTTCCCATTTAGTTATAACAGCTTGTTTATTACTTTTTGGTAAATTATTAAATCGATCACACGCTTCCCATACAACTCCAGTCGAAATAAGATACCCTTTTGATGTTATAATACTTGGATCTACAGGTTCATCCAAAAATGAGTTTGCTAATGCTGCTGAATCGAAAAGAATTTCTTCTGTTGTTGATTTTATTATTTGAATTAAAGTTTTCCCCGTTGATATTGGTATTGATTCAATATATCCACTTATACGAAATAATGTTTCTCCCATAGCTTCAATTGTTGGTATAGCTGATATTGGTATGCACGGAGGTTTGCAAGCAATTGTTACCTTTAAAAAAAAAGTTTTTTAAATTAATTTTCCTATTAAAATAAAAATGAAATAAAAATGTAACAGAATCATTGCTATATTTTCTTTCACCTTTGTTGCATTATCTGCAAGAATTATTCCTAATTTACCTAAAAATCAAAAGTAAATAGAAAAAAATCAGCAATTTAATTTCAATGCATAAAAAGGGCGGAATTAACATACCAAGATCGTTTACAATAGCTTCACCATCAACATTTTCATGGCTTTGTAATGTTTTAGGACTATTAGTCTCTTTTAAATATCCAACTAACATATCAACTAACGCACGTAATTTTGCCTGAACATCTTTGTCATTAAACATAAATTACAAAATAATTATTTGAGAAGGAAAGATTTTTTAACCTGACTAGGCTGAATTTTGTTTATATAACATTTTACATACCAGAATTACTTGGAGTTGACATATTAAATACAGTGTATTAGATGTAAAAAAAAAAAGCCAAAATACGCGTTATGTCATGTAAAGGCGTCGAATTTTTGTGCTTTGTGACACAGAGCTATAAAATATAAATTCGGCATAAAGTTGGCGGAAATTTTCGATTAGCTGAATATAAAGTGGGACCTTTTTTTTTACGCAAAAAATTGTGGTTAAAAAAAAAGATAACTTTCTTTCATTTACTACGTATTATACACCTGTATTCATTTTTTTTTGAACCTTGATTTTGAGGTAATCTCGTGGTATTTTTAAAAGTTTTTTTTTCTTTATTATTGCATAAATATGACGGTCTATTATAATACTTTTAAAAAAAAAAACTTTTTTAATAAATACTGCGGCTAAAACAGTATTTCTCTAAAGGTTCGTTTCAATTACGAAATGGATTTTTATTATTACTTAAATTAAGGTTTAAACTTTCAAAGTAATATTTAAACTAATTAATTTTTTACCCCCTTTTTTCGTTATTTTCGTCATGTTATTATTTGTCCTAGTTTTTATTTTTTTTTTTTCTAATTTTTAACATATAAACCATATATATATGACTTCACAAATAAGCCCCAATAGGGAAAACGAAACCATGTTTGCCCGTGAGGAGACAATTATCCTCAACGTTGGAGGAGTAAAGGTTTGATTTTATAATAATATTTATTTATTTTGATTAATTTGATCTAAATTACAACAAAATCGATGTTTTAATTTTAGTACGAGACATATCCTTCAACATTGACCGCATTTCCCGACACTTTACTTGGCACAATGTTTCAAGAACGAAATAGAGAAATGTTGCATCCAAAAAATGGTAATGAATATTTTATTGATAGAAATGGGTATGCATTTCGATATATTCTTGAATTTTATCGAAATGGAAAAATATTGTGGAGCGATCGAGCAGAGAAAAATCTTGTAGCAGTGACTCGTGAAGAACTTGACCAAGAAATTGATTATTTCCAATTACCAATTAAAGATGCTGCTGTTACTTCAGGAGAACTTACAGTAGCTTCTAAAGTTGATGCGTTTGTAGCAGCTCTTAAAAAAGTTGTTCATATAGCTATAAATCAACTTCAAACTGAAATTCAAATGGCTATAACTGATTTTGGAACCATTGAAGAATTAGAGTGGTATCCAGCACAAGGTCAAAGTGAGATAATAGCAGACATTATGAAACCATTTAATATGGTTGGTTTTGTTATATTACGACATTTTGGAGATGCAATAGAAAGACATATTAAATCAGAAATTCCAGAATTTTCATGGAGATGTGAATTTTATAATTGTAAACCAAGAAGAGGATATGGTGCATTAATGTCCCCGTATCAATCACATAATCACAGTTTCTTAAATAATTCGTTTAATAATATGGGATTTAATGGTGGCATAAGCAGGATGTCACAGCCAAATATGATGACTTTTCAACATATAATAAATGCAAACAATAATACATCCACAGTTTCATCGTGGCCTACATTTAATCAAAATAATAACCAACAAAACAATTTAAATAACGTTGCACATGATGTAAATGGCATCACTAGATTATTTGGTAATAACACTAATGGGTTTAATTCTAATAGTATAAGCCAAGCGGTTGGAGGTCAAGGAACTAATTTTGGCGTTTCTCAAACGCCACTTGGATTTGGTGCTAATCAAGCGGACGGTAATGTACAAACATTTGGAGGAAGTCAAACAAATGTTGTAAATGGTCCAAACTTCAACGGGGATCGAACATCAGTTAACGGACAACAATTTGGAGGAAATTCGACAAATGTGAATGGACAAGCGCCTGGTCCTCCCCCGTTTAGTGGAAATCAAGCAACAGGAGATGGACCAGCTGTTAACGGACCATTCGTTGGTGGAGGAAATCAAGCAACAGGTAATGGAACTCAGTTTGGCACCAATCGACTATCAGGAAATAGTTCTTCGCTTACTTCACCATTTGGCGATGGTGGAAATCATTCAATAGGTAGTGGACCATTCGGAAGTGGAACAAACAATCATTTTGGACAATATGGTTCAACTTTCAATGTTAATCAAACAAACAACAATGCAAATGGACAATTTGGTAGCAATCAAAATGTTGGTTTTGGTTACGGTACTACACCATTTATTAATCAATCACAAGGATATGGGTCACATACAATAACTGGATATGCAGGAGGTTCATCCAATTTTTTTAATGGAATTCCTTTAGGAGTAACATTTAGGACAAACAATAATTCTGTTACATCTAATCAACCATCATCTATGCAAGGTCATCCCTACTCGACAGCTCATTCCAGTCCTTTTGGTGGAAGTAATCATACGGTAACATCCTATAATGGCGGCGGACAAACATATGTACCACTTCATTCAGGTTATCATGCTTTTGTTCCAACGGCAACTCACGATAGTGATACACCTTCAATGTTTTATCGTCGAGCAGAAGGCAGGGCTCTGAAATTGGTAATCAGGTTAGATTATGATTATTCAGTGGCAAACATATTGTCAAATACTTGTCTTTCTAAATGATTCAGTCATATGTTATATATCTGTCTCTTATACACATCTAGATGTGTATAAGAGACAGGTCATATGTTATATATATTATATATATATATTTTGGTCTATGACGGTAAGTTTAAAATACAATACAAATTATTATTTTTTGATGTATGTAATTAGTAAAAAAAAAAAATTAATTCACAAAATTTCCAAGATAATATTTATTTAATCCTAATATCACCCGTTCACTTCAGAAAATAAGATTCATGTTTCATAACTTCTTATTTTTTCAAGGAGGAAAAAATTTTATAATCATATGCAAAAATTATATAGAAAAGTAATTTGCATGTATATATATAATATGGAAGAAAAAGTACTTTATCAATCATTATAGTTTAATAGCTCTTTATTTTACTGTTTTAATAATATGAGAGACGAAAAGGAGGGAAAAATAATTAAGATTTTGTGCATCGTTTTTGAATTTTCTGTACATTGGCAAAATTTTTAAAAAAAATTATTTTTTTAATGATTCAAATCCATATGGAATTTGATCAAAATTTTTAGGATTAATAGCTAATACTTTATAAATTCTTCCCATTGTTAAAGGGTCAACCAATCTTTTATAAGAATTAAATAAAATTTTATGTTGTTCAATAGAAGTTGTTTGATCAAGTAACATTGATAATCTTGTCGTTATTCCCATTGAGTGTAAGAATTTCGATTGTGTTACCGGTCCAAATGTATTAACTATATAAAGTAAATATGGTTTGGTAAGATATTTCACTAATTTCAGGGGAAAAAAAAATGCTTTTGTTATATCATAATATACCTTTTCCTTGAGTCGACTCTTTTAAATAAGAAAAATTTATGTCAGCACTTAAGTCTGAGTGTCCCGGCAAACTTAAAGAATGAACAAATTTATGATCTCTAATAGCCTATATTGAATGAAATATTTCTATCATATTATTTATTATGATAAACTTGGTTAAATATCATACATACTCTTAATGTATTGTCTTGTACATAATCTTGACCATAATCAATAATTAAAGCGGCACCACCAAATTTTGAGATTTGATTCGAAATTTTTTGAGTAATATTCCAAGAGTCCGAAGATATTTCTATACAATCCCCAATATTAAATTTTGTATATTGTGGTGATGATGTTAATGTTATAGATTCTTTTGTGGAATCTGGTGAAAGAATTAAACGGAAATGATATGGGCTATAAAATAATAAAATTTTTATAAATAAATTAATATAACGATAATGTATTCAAAAGAAATATTAAAAAATTACCTATCAATTGAAGTATCAATATCAACCATATATTCTCTCCATCCCTTATCTGTAAGCTAAATTAAAATGTAAATAAATATCAATAATCAAAGTTTGAAACTTTATATTAAAAATATACTACCTTAAATCTATGAATAGGTAAGGCATCAAAAAATTCATGAGCAACAATCAAAGACCATCCGTCTAAAATTTATTTTTCTAATTTTTAAATCTTATATATATATATATTTGTAAAAAAAACAAATTATATTTTTTACCTAATATATCATTGATCGTATTATGCCAATAAAACTTATAGTTCGTGCTTTCAGTATTATTTTCACGAAATTCATTTAATCTTTTAAATTGTAATTTGCTTAATTCGGGACTAATTTCAATTAAATGTATACCATTTAATGTATTATAAAAATCTGGAAAATTTGACATCACCTATTTAAAAATTTAAAAAAATCGTTATAAATTATTAAATTCGTAAAAATAAAATTATTTTATAAAAAGAATAAATTTAAATTTAAATAATCTTTACACGAAGCATATCTTCCATTAATGTCCCTCTACCTGGTCCCAATTCAATTAATTGCGTTTTTTGTGGCTTTCCTTGACTTTCCCATTGTGATATCAACCATATTCCAATCAACTACATAAATAATAAAATAAAAATATTAAAATAAAGTGTAAGTGTTATAAGTTTTTATTAATTTTTTTTTTTTTTATAATTAATTTACCTCACCAAACATTTGACTAATTTCGGGCGAAGTAATAAAATCACCTTTAGCACCAAATACATCACCTTTCATATAATATCCACTATTTGGATTTGTTGATACATGTTTCATATATGTAGCTATTGATATAGGTCCTTTTTCCTATAGTAAAATTTTTTAAAAATATCTTTTAACAAAAGAATAATTTATAGAATAAAAACTATGGTGTCATAAATATGTACAGATATTAAATTCTTTAATTGTTGAGCAAGTGGTGTTAATTCTTCTTTTTGTATTTGTGTTGTTGAATAAAAATATTTATTGGAGTATAATGTCTTTTTTAAATTACTTTTTAAAAGTTTTTTTAAAATGAAACCATATCTAGAATTAATAAATAATCTTGACATTTTAAAAAAAAAAAATTGAATTTTTAATTTTTTTTTTTTTATAAAGATTAATTTTGGTCAATTTGATTGGTTGTACAAATCTCAAACTCCTCTAGGATCGCTCCGCGAACTGGGAATTGTTAGGATTATTAACGTTTACAATCACTGAAATAAGAGTGCATACAGTACATTGCCAATAATGCCATTTAATCACCGACATTTAATTCGTTTTCAAAATGATTTAAATGATTTGAAGAATTGATTTAAATAGTATTGATGATAATTTAAAGAGATTTTTCAATCGTTGGTTATTTACATGTTAATTTTAAGATTGATAAAGTTACAAGCATGAAATATTTTTTCAAGTTAACAAGGTTATAATGACTTGGTAAAATGTTTAAATGCTCTTGAATTTTTGTTACTCATCTTATTTGTGAAGTATGATAATTGTCAATTAACACTGGATGCACTAGTGCTTCGATCCGTTTCTGTCTCATCCGGATGAATCCGGATGAATCCGGATTTTTTTTTATCCGGATATCCGGATTTTGACCCTGATTTTGATCCGGATGGAAAATATCCGGTTTGAACCGGAATCCGGATGAGTTTTCATATATATTTACTATATTCGCGCAATATATCGCCATCCAGTAATCGTAGAAAGACGATTAATGGCTCATTGGAATCGTCGCATCGAGAGCTTTCGAATGGTACTAAAATGAGCTTTCTAGCTTCGATAGATGATGAGATAATTTTTAAAATATTTACATGAATAACTCGCCATCTATTGATGCTAGAAAGGTTATTTTGGTACCATTCGAAAGCTCTCTATGAGTGGATTCTAATGATCCATTAATCATTTTTTTACGATCACTGGATAGCGAGTTATTGCGCGAAAACAGTTCTGACTAATTAGAAAAGAACTGTAAAATAGTTTTTTTTTAAATGTAAAATATATTTAAATGTTCTTTATTTTATTAACTTTAAAAATGTAAAAAATACACCTTTTTCAATTCAAATATGAAGATAAAAAAAAATTTTTAAAAATAAAAAATTTTGCTAAATTGTTAGAGTATTTAAAAAAAAAATTACAAAATAAAAAAATTAATTTTTACTATTCTTCTGATTCAAATTCAGGCAAAAATTCCTCTATAAAGTCTTCTTTTTCCACATCTAAGTCTGGAGGAAATACATTAATATATTCCATAGTTTGCATATTACACTTTGGAAAAGAAATTCATTAGATCCTGATTTATTAGGAAAAATGATATTTTTAAAGTTGTAATTCCGGCCGGCGTTATGAATTCTGGCCAGAATTATTGCCGATCAGTTGTAAATCCAATCCGGATTCCGGTTTCTATCCGGATTATTTGACCCGGATTAGAATCCGGATTGATCCGGATAAAATCCGGGTCCTTTTTTTTTGTAACCCGGATGACGGTTTTCATCCGGATCGAAGCACTAGGATGCACACAGCACACTAAAGATCTCAATATAGTCATTTTATAATAATCGAACAATATTATAAAAAATATATGCGCGAAAATCAAATATTCCGTGTAAAATTATAGTACAAGAAAATTGCGATACGATCTAGCATTTTCCGATACCTCTCGCAATCTTTGGATGTTCTTCTAAGGCTAAAAAGCTATGCAAAGCAAAGTTGTTAAGAAAATTTGAAAAAAAAGTGCAGCTGCAAAAGACTAAGTTTGTAAGTTTGTCTCAAAAGTTAATGTTATAATCCATATAAATATTAAAATTTTATTCATCTTAAAACTGTTCTTGCAGAATGTTTGCAATCATTATGTGTAATCTCATTCATAATTGTCAAAAAAATTATTTTAATATTCCTAAAAATAACTCGATATTCTTCAAAAATCTAATGCCTAAAGTTAATTCATATTGTCTTTTTAGCAAAATTTGTTAACATATTTTTACTTCCACAAGTGAATTAAAATAAGCTATAATATATATACATTATATACATAAAATATAAATGTAGCAAAACCAGAATATATGACACATACTCCCTTCTATATCATCTATATCGAAAAATTCGAAATTTTCCTATTTTATTGTCCGGTTAGATTCTTATAATTAAGACTGCCTTTAAAGACAATGCGTTTTTCATAATACTGAATTATCTATTATTAAATGTATAGAATGTTATGTTTATTACCAAAAAATCATTATAATAAATGTTTTATTACTTACACTTTGTGGACATAATTTATTGACTTCCGTACTAAGATGAACTGATGTGAAACCACCTCTCCTAAAAAAAAATTTATCGTTAAATTTATTTTGATTTCTTTCTTGTATCATTTTCATTAGCTTACCATGAAATATAAATCCAAAGTACATTCGGTAGTTTATCATGAGGTTCAATAGCAACAACTTCTTTGACATAAGGATCCCAATTTTCATCAATATTACGTATAATACTTTTCATTCCTTTATCATCATAAAGAATTTCCTTTTCGTAAACACGATTATTACTTATTGGTTTTCTTGGCCCAAGTTTAACTTTTGAACATTTCGACTTTGAACCTTTGTTAGAAATTTGTTCATCCTCTTCCAGATCATCTTGTGGCAACAGTGCTTTATCATCATTTTCAACATTTTCATCATCTATTTCCATGGTATCTTTGAGTGTTACATCGCTATCGGAAGAGGATTCACTTTCAGAAGAAGAAATATCATCAACATCCTTAATGGAGTTTCGAACATTTACATCACAAACGTCACGTGCAATTTCACGATCCTCATTTTTATTAGTGGACAAAGAATCATTAACATTTTTATTTTGCATTTTGGGTTGAGGTGATACTTCCTTTTCAATTATTTTATCTTTCTTTTGAATTGAATTTGATTTCATAGAATCTTCATTTCTGTATTTAACAAGAGAATAATCATTAGTCGTTGAAATTGGTTTAGACAAAGAATTAGTAACATGATTGGAGATTCCATTCGATTGACGAAAAATAGTGAGAGATGACGATTTCTTCTTGTTGAAAGATGCTCGTCTTTTAAATTGACTTTTAACTTGAAGTCCATTCGTTTTCCCATTAGTAGAAGGTTTAGGATAAGAGGTTACACATCTTTTATAACCATTAGATGATGAAGAACTTGCGGTTGATTTATTACGCCAGTATGCTTCCAAAAGGTCTGTTGCGTAACTGATAAAAAAAAAATTCTCAATTTATATATATATATATTTTTTTTTTTTAAAAAAAAAAAAAAAAATTTAAAAAAAACGTTTTATTTTCTTTCTTAAAAAATTTATTTGAATATATAAATCTTTTTTTTTTAAAAAAAAAAAAAAAAGTTTAAAAAAAATTCTTTATATTTACATATTTTCCTCATCTTCCCACGAATTTTCGGAATCCGGATAGTCTTTCCACTTCAAGAAATACTGAAAACGTCCCTAATATTAAAAAAATATATTATATAAAATAATAATAATAAACTCTTTAATTTTTTTATTTTTTTTTAAATATTTACATCTGGTCTATTTTTATGAGAAAGAATCTTTTCAACAACGTATTCATCATCTTCATAATCCTCATTTTCACTTATGGAATTATAAGAGGAAGAAGAGGATTGACCCAAAGGATGAGAACGAAACTTTTTCTTTTGATCAGTAAGATCTCTATAAGGAATTGGATATTGACCTTTAACTATTGGTACTTTTGGAGTAGCCATTAAGTAAGAATATAAGTGATATTGAAAATAGAAAAGTTAAGGAAGAAGTGAGAAAAAATTTTTTAACAAAATGAGATAATAATATTTATTTTATACATTTTAATTACACGTCATACGATGTATTTTATGGAATTGAGAAATAATTTTAATGAAGTGATTAATAATTATATATCAATTTAATTTTTTCTGTTTTTGCAAATTTATAAAGTTTAGATACGTCATTATGTGAATTACGCAGCATAAGTAAAATGGCGTAATAATATATAATTATTATACAGAAATTAGAAGAAATAAAGCAGTAATTCTTAAAATAAAAATTGAAAGAATGATTGACCACAAGAAGATAAATAACAATTTCCAAGTAGGAGTATAAGGTAATACAATATTTTTGAAATTGGAAATATTTGTTGTATAATGAGTATCTAAGTAAATATAAAAAGTATACATCAAGAATGAGACAGCATGTGATAACATAAATATCATGTCTCTATAATAAATAAAGTGATTATTAATTAATCAAATTAATCAAATTTTAAAAAATTTCAAAATATCATATTTAAATAATTACCCAGTAGGATGAACAAATAGAGTAGCGATGGTTCCAAACATATGTACGAAAGCGGCAATAGGTAATAAAATAATTTGATTTGTAAATTTACTAAATTTAGTATTTGAGTTAAATTCTTCTTGTGGATCATTCCCTTCCGGAAATTGTGAAGAATCTTGATTTTTTATATACAAATAAGTACGAATATAGATTCTCAAGAATATAATTACAAGAGCAAAATCCAACATCAAATCTTTTAAGAATATAAGAAAGAAAAAGATCAGCGTAAAGTATTTCAGATATGTTTTATATGTTTTTCTCTTACCTTGCATTTTGAACCAAATAGCATCTAAAGGCCATTTAAGTGTAATGGTTAATAAATTAACTAAAATGATATATTTCATACAGATAAAAAATATAAAAAATTTAAATTGACCAAATGTTAAGTAAAGAATAATTATCAACTCAAGTAAACTATGAAATGAATCAAATGAAGACCAAAGTTTTCCTGGGTATAAAATTTGTAACGCTAAATCAGAAATAAATGTAAACAATGAAAAATATGCGAGAATTTTATTAAAAAATTTAGTAGAAAGAGTTGAAGAATGATTATAATCAGGATGATCAGGAAATATGAAGTAAGAAATGTAAACTTTTGGTATCGATTTATTATGTGTAAATATTAATGATGCTAGAGTTGAACAGAAAATTATGATAATTAGATATCCAAACCATGCTATAGAAGCTTCACCTAAATGAATTATTATTATTAGATATATAAATCGGACAAAAGTATCACCGCAGAAAAATATTAAATTCTTAACCTACTTTTTTCTATTTCATACCATATTGGAAATCCTGTTAATTTTGAAGTTTCTTGAGATGTTGAAAATCTAAAGGATTTAAAAGTATATAATAATCCTATTAAACAAATTATTGTTATTGAAAATATAATGACGCGTTGTCCTTTCTTCATATTCATTTTTAAAAGATTTTTTTCGAAAAAAAAGAATTCGACATTTATACTCAATTTTTTGTGTCTAGATTTCTAAAATTATAATTTAGTGATCATCATGAAATGGATATAAATACGTTGATAAAAATATTACTTTTATAAAAATAACTCATTAATACTATTCCGAATTCCGATGACAAATTTTTACCTAAAAAAAGAGACGATAACGATATCTTAAAATCATTGAAAACCCAATTTATATAAATTTCTATATAACATTAATTTACAAATTTAGTATAATAATAGGGATAATATTTAATAATAAATCAATGAATGCTATTTTCGAAATTTTAAAAAACTTTGAATGAGGCTCATTATATCATTGTAAGTACAGTGTAGCAATTGAGACTTCATTGGAGTTATTCTCAAATAATTCATTGCTGCGCAATTCAATATTCGAAAATTCCTTGTAATGCGGGAATCATATAATATGGTATAATAAAATATAAAATTTACTTTTTTGTAATCTGGATGATCTGAAGGCGTTATCCGGTCCGGATTCAATCGGATTAGTTTACTAACTGTATATAGTTAATGTGCGGATTAAATTGTCTAATGGTCTAATGATTGACTTTCTAAGTACCATCCGTGAACGGTTAGTTTTCAGATCTGACCCGATCCGGATCGTTAAAGTTGAAATGACTATGCCTCATTTCTTCCCTAATGATCTATATGTCATTTTAAGGTATATTTTGTTCTTTAATTAAACCTTTAATGTTTCTTAGCCATCAAGTTTCATATAACCAAATGACAAATATAATATTATATAAATAACATAAAAAATATTTTTATTTCAATGAAAATGCGTCGCCTCATTTTATTTTCGGTTACAGTAATTTGTTTAGTAGGAATACTTTATTCATTTAAACTTATTAAACTTTCACCTCCTCAACAAGAAAGATCGAAATTAACAGGATCTCCAGTATGGCATGGTGAAATAGAAAGTACATAAATTAATTGCCATATAACATATATCACTCTATATCACTAATTATTTTTCTTTTTAGATTTCGATCAACAAATTTTAAATTCTGGAACATTGGTTCCAATTATGTTGATTTTTTGTTCAACGATAATATCAATAATATTTTCTTACAAGAAATCTAAATCAAAAGCTTATATATCTTATTTTATATTCCCCGATTATCCTACTACTCTTAAAAATAACCCTTCTAATATTACTACAAGATCTTTCAATAAAAAGTTAGCCTATTATTCTTTATTCGTCTTTGTTACTAGTTTGAATTATTATATTTTAGAATCGGGAAAACTTTGGTCTACTCTCAATTCACTTCATAATTTGATTGAATTAATAATTATCCTTTTTTTAACACTTGAAGGACAAATTCATAAAAATACATTTTTAGTATTTTTTGTTTGTTCATCTTATATTGTTTTAATTAATTTATTAATCACTATACTTAAATGGCCATTAGATTATATTGCTTTTAAAGCGCAAAGTATATTATTTTTTTTAATCATCTTTCAATTTTTTTTTTAACATAAAGATAAAAAATATTAACCTTTTTTTCTCAGATTTAATATTGGATTTTACACTCGTGATCTTATTCGTGAGAATTTATCTTCATACATATTATTATATAAAAGAACAAAAACCTGTATTACCTTCTCATTCGGATGATCAAGAAGAAAATACCGCGAATAAAAAGCTTAAATTTATTACTCATCCAAATCAAGTTTTATTATTACCTCTTGCTGCTCTCGTGCATGTATTTGGAATTATTGCTAGTTATGTACTTATTAATAACATTATCGGGTATGTATTTATAAAAATATCTTTTTACATGATTTATTATATTAATGAACTTTTTTTTTTTTATTATTTTTAATAAAAAGAAATATAGCATTCTTAGTATCAACCGCGATCTCGTTTTCAATATATTCTTTCTACATTTATTTAGATACTCACTATACAACAAATACCTTCAATTCCAAAAATATTGTATTGCCTTATACTCCTACTTGGAAATTGATAATTATATTCTCGTGGTCTATTATCCTTTCTGCTGCTACGATAAGAATTATCATACATAAAAAAAGAATATAAAGATTATACGTAAATAATGCAGTTATAAATTTTTAATTTATATAATATCAATATGTTGTGATTGTCACCACTGGTGATTTTCACAACTGCGTTAGGTCTCGGTAAATTACCTCACTTCTCCATTATTTTACTTAGCCATGTATTTCTTTATGAATAAAGATCTTTATTTCGAATTTTAAGATTAATTTTTTGCTGTGTTAGCATACATTCGAAAATAAAATACTTAACTTCATAATAATAAGTTTTATACTTTTATTTATTTTAAACTATGCCTTCGCATTTTTAAACAAAAAAATATGTAAATAACATCGCTAACCTAATTTTCACAAATATCTGTTACCGATTTTGAGGCATTCTATCATATATGAATCATAATTTTTAGAGTATTATACATGTACAAATCCCTTCTTGAGTTTTCGAACTTCTTTTGATTCACTTCGAATATCAATAATCGTTGTTTCTTTAGTAACCTTTACAATCTCTTTGTATTCACCAATAATTTTATCAAATCTTCTATTATGTTCTTCCATATCCAAACCTTCTCTTAAGAACTCTCTATTGCCCATTCTAATCCTTCTATGTAAAAATCTATATATCCCTCAATTCCATAATATGAACCCACATCACATGATAGAAAATGAACATTTCCTAATGCTCGGTTCCTCTTCGATAATTATTATTATTATCATCGATAACAAGAACCCCAGATCTGATTAAATATTTATCATCATCAGAATCTGTAAATCCAATTTTCCTTTTTAAGCAAACATATTGCCATATTTTCATTTGCTCATTGGAAAGAAATCTGAGTTGGGTGCGGCACGGCAATCATCAACAGTCTCGCTGAAATCTTCTGAATTAAGATACATATAGATTTCTTTCCAAGTCAAACTTTTATTACTGCATTGCATCCTTTGTATGTTGCAATATGTGACGAACTAAACCAACATGTCCAACTGTTGCATATTTGATATACCTAATAAATTGTGAGATAATGTAGTCATCACCGAAGTTCTTGCCACAACAATCCTTAACATATGCTTCTAGCTCTTCATGAGTAAATCTGATTTCTGTAAGACCCCATGTTATTCCAAAATGGTATAGAGACAGGAGCCCGCTAGTTCTACAGAATTGTTACCAGTTCCATATGAAGCAAACATAATGACACTAAGATTTGACCCTTGAAGGCACATTTAATGACACCCCAGAATTCAACTGCAGTTCCTGTACCCTTCATACTTTCATCAGCTTTATTCACATCCTCATAGATCGTCTGAGTTTCGTCTAATATTAAAATAGATGGAACTTTTTGACACTGTCCTACCCATTCATACCATTCTACACCAACAATCTTCATAAAATGTATCATATTCGCATCTCTTTCCCACAAAAGATCCCCATAGCAATGAAACTCTTATTACTCTGAGTAGTCTTGATGAGTTAATTATTAAGTAATTCTCCAATAATTGGGCTAATGAATGCCTGGACAAGAACCACCCTCTTTTGCTCAAGTGTTTTGGCCAGACAAGACACAAAATCAGATCTTTGGTTGATGTCGGGTCAGTAAGAGAGATACCCTCAATGTTATAAGCATTCTGCTCATATTTATATAGTGACTTATATAGCGATGTACCACCAAGACCATCTAAAGAAGTTTAGGTTAAAAATATATAAGATCGCGATTAAAAATACCAGCTTACACATATGTACCTTGTCAAGGCAGATAACAAAGGTCTGTGATGATACAATATATATCTGTGATCCAGTACAAAGCAAACAGAGACAAAGGTGATCAATACATTATATAGAAAACAGAAAAGTGAAATCATCTTTTTTCGAGAAGTAAAAAAATTAGGAGATACTTACCAGTGGAGAACGGTGGCGGTTGTACGATGACACAGATGTTCTTGGAGTCACACATAGAGATGTCGCCAAAATCACTAATTGGAGTCAACTTTTCACCTCCGAGTTCTTTTATAGTAATATTTTCCTTATCCATATAACGGGAAGTGTTTTCAGTTTAACGTCGTTTGTATCGCCAGGAATATCCACCTTCCATAGGTGCATCAAAATTTTTGAAATCGTTCTTATTTTTCTCATAAATTTACTTCCTTTAGAATTGAAATGCTCATTCCTGCGCCACCTTCAACTTCAAAGGTCCAAACATTTTGGCGCCGATACTTTGTCGTATTTACGTAATTAACGAAGATAACCGACTCAGCGAGGACCGGAACCCCAATCATAACCATTATACCACACAAAAATATAACCCCTGATAATATTTTTCGAAGTATCTAGAACATTTCGTTACTCATCATGCTTCATCATTATCATATATCAACCGGTATTTGCCGATTTAATATAAATACGATATGAATCAATTGAACGGTTCATAAGTACAAACTGAAATCTTCCCACCTGAGAATATAAAAAATATACAAAATATAAAGAAAGGTCTTTATTTGATATTTTACTGAAAGGTTGATTTTTTGACCCTTGTTTTTAACTCTCGATTTTCGCGTTTGCAGATATACCACCGATTGAAACCCAGAAAAAAATATAAATTCTACGTTATGACTGAATTTTCGTGCGCAGATTTGGCACAGTTATGTTGGCCGGAATTTAAGATTATTATTATTTAATCTAATTTTAGTTTTATAGTAAAACTAGGGTCATTTGAATTCGTTTAAGCTCATTCGAATAATCGAATGACATGCACGTATAACATAATAATACCAAATACCAAAAAATCGGGGGCTATTTATAAAAAAGAATTTGGTGTAACATTAGGGTGTACCTTATCGGACTATCAAAATCTCGACAATCACTTTGTACGACTAACACAAGATCGACAACAAAATCTCGACAATCCAAACTCGATATCGTTCAAATGATTTTTCGAGATTTCGTACCAAAACCAAAGTATTGACAATTCTGCCGGTTAATGGGTCAAAAGGAATTTTTCAGATGGCATCTAAGTTCTCAGATATATAAAAATTATTACTAATATCGAGTTTCATTTTACGATCCTCCCTCATGGTAAAGTGAAAATCAATATACTTTTGTCATTGTAGAGCTACAATTTTCTAGCAATAATTTGAGTGAAAAACTGCATTGCGAGAAATAACTACAGCCACGATAAATAATTGAAGATGATGATGAGGAAGAAATTCAAATGATAGAATTATTGAGGATGATACTAATAATGATTTGCTTATGACAGATATTATGAAAGATGATTTTAGAGAACAAATTGATAAACAACCTGACGAACTTGTAGATTATGAGAATTCAGATGTTGATTTTGAAGCAATACTTGATGAGGAATTGGGACTAAATTAGTAAATTAGTAAATGTAGTATGTATATTTTGTAAAAATAAACATTATAATTAGTAAATAAATAAACATTAATTAGCAAATAAAATAAATAGTAAATAAAGAATAATTCATTTATTCATTGTTCATTTTATGATTAGTCATATTAAATAATTCATTACAATACAATCTTAAATTGTTGTTATTTTTTCTAATACTACTATCTATAAAAAATTTTTTATTATACCAAAATGAAAAAAACGAAAAAAAGAAACGAAGTTAATGTCGCTTCTTAAAAATAAATGTCAAAGAAAACTCAGAAAATCCGCCAAAAAAAAAAGAAATTTTTTTTAATTTCTTTTTTAATTAAATTATGCAAGCCTATTTACGGTATATAAATTTGAAAAGGTTACGGCACGATTTCTGCTAACCGTTCCTAAAAAAAAAGATTTTTTTTTTTAATTTCTTTTTTAATTACGATATATAAATTTGAAATTATGGTTATGGCACGATTTCCTGACAGATGATTTCCTGACAGGACATTTGCCCGACAGGTTTGGCCAAAGATATGCAGAGTTATGCACGAACACGTGATCAAACGGCCAGTCCTGTCAGAAAACGGTCCGTAAGCGATAAAAATTTACGGCATTACAGCTTACGGCATTTTATTATGGAATTATTTAGGGCATATGTTAAAATGCCGAACGTGAAATGGCATATTATCCCCTGATCGGCACCACACGGTTATGCAAATGTATTTACAGTAAAAATGAACTATTTGATTAAACTATAATAGACGGATTTGAAAATTTGAGTAATTCAGAAAGATTTGCATTTTCCAAATGAGAAAAACTTTCTTTTAATTTATTCGTAATCTCAATATTATTTCAAGTGTAATAAGTGTAATGATAATAGTTCCGATTTCCGAAGCTTTTTAAAATTTAATCATTTTTTTTAAAATCTTTTAAAATGAAAAAAAAAACCAAGCGAACAAAAATAAAATTCAACAATAAATATATTATATTTATTCACAATATACTATAAAACACTTACTATTGTGTAAATGGCAGGGGATAAATCAACTATAGATTCGAATGTGATCAGGAAATTTATTACAAATAAGTGTAACAGTTTCTTACTTCTAATAGATATTTCCGTTAAATTATTAATTTATTGTTTAAAGATATTTTATCACACGAGATTCGAATATCCGGTTGAGATTCGAATATCATGTGAGATTTGAATCATATTCAAATTTACATTTCAAAAATTTTTGAATATTCGAATCTTATAATACGCGGCGTAATGGTGAATATATTACACCAAATTTTTGTTCAAAGATTCATATGAAAATAGCATTACACCAGTATTACATCGCCGAATTGGTATAATGTGCCGTAATATTTTGGTATGGCTTGAACAGTACTTGAACCCGATGTTTATGGAAGTTCTATATTGAGTCATTGTGTCCTGTGTCCTTTGTAACTGACATTTTTAGAAGTGATCGATCTCACTAAGATGCAAATAACCATTTATCGAAAAAAGTTTTTTTAAAAAAGTTTAGTTTATAAAGAATAATACAACTTCCATAGTAATTTTTCGGCCAATCAAATCTCTTACTTTTAAGGTCCTTAATAATCACACTATAATCAAATAGGAACCTAATAAAAAATTTTAAATTCTCCCTTCATATACAAGTACTTTACCCCACTATGCTCAAAGATTTTAATTCAGGAGCTAACATATGTTTATTTTTCTTTTTATTGTTTATACCGAAAAACTTATGAAATAGATTTTTGATCGCCAAAAAATAAATTATTCTTTTTTACCCTTTCACACGTAATGTACGAAGATATATACCATTTTTAAAAACAGCAATAAGGAAAAAAATTAAGAATGACGAAAGTAAAAAGGAAATAATTAATATATTAGTCAAACTATCTTTTCTTATAAAAAGACTGTGATTTTGCTTGCTCTGAGTAAAAAATATATACATTTATAAGTAAAGAAAAACTAATTTTTTATTACAAATCATCATGAAGTTTTCTGGAATTCTTTTATTAGTCGCCCTCTCCATGGTAAATGCTTTACCGCATTCTGGATATCCAATTGCTGAATCATACCCAATTGCATCATACCCAATTGCTGAAAGATTCGAAGGGAATCCAAAAGATCTGAATAATCCAACTATCGAATCATACCTAATTGCCGAAAGATCTGAAGGAAATCCAAAAGATCTGAATAATCCAACTGCCGAATTATATCCAATTGCCAAAAGATTTGAAGGAAATCCAAAAGATCTGAATAATCCAACTGCCGAATCATACCCAATTGCATCATAAAGATCCGAATAATCTAATTATCATACTCTCTATTTTAACTAGTTAATATTTAATTAATTTTATTAAATTAATATTTTATTATTTTTATTATTCATTAGTAACAATATAATTAATAAATGTTATTCTGTTTTTATATACTGTATTAAAAAGATCGTTGCCTGAGGTGATAAATATTATACGTCACCTTAATAAAATTACGTGATCTAGCGATAATACTTTATTATATAAAAAAATATATATAACATTATCTATACATTATTATCTATACATTATCTATATCATACTTTACATTTTTCTTGCTAAACCGTTTAGGAGCATAATGTTCCTGTGAGCTATTTGTACTGTTCCTTTTGAGTATAATAAAAAAATCAATATTTATTAATTAAATATCAGCTTTATATTTTACTTTCTTATTAGCAATATCAATATAAGCTAAAGTTATCTTATTTAAATTCCTTTATTTATAATTATTTTTTAATGAATAATTTAATACTTTCTTAAAATTCTATAATATGACTATATTTCAATTTTATATATAATTTTGAATCTAAATTTTTTAAATATTATTGTAATATTTAAAAATAAATTCTAATCCATTATTATTTTGAGGCTTTTAAATAGTATATGTATTAATAAAGAGTTTATTGTATATAAATTCAATACTTTCTTATATTCCTATATTCTATTTTATAATTATCAGCATTAGTATAATATAAAATTTCTACTATTAACTTAAAAAAATAGTAGTAAATAATGCTATATAAAACTAATAAAAAACTGAATATATATAAAAACAAGTGCTATCTTTAAATATAATCATTATATATTGATAAGATTTTGTAATTAAGTAAAAATCAATGTTTCATACTTTTTAAAATAGATTTTTTTAAAACTAAATCTAAAGTAATTTCAAATATATTTAATAAAAATAATAAATTTAATGAAATAATAATAATCTATAATAATATTTCTAAGTTTTTTTTTCTTTTGATTATTAATACTATTACCAGTTATATTATAATCTTAAAAAATATAAAATGTTAATAATTTGCAATAGCAAATAATAATAAATAATAATATTGTAAAATATATATTTTATTTTATTATTAGGTTATTACTAAAATTCTTATAACTATAATTTGCATTTAAATTTTGCTAATTAGCCTAAATATAAATCAATACAATTGCTTATATACTTCTAATTCTATATCTAAATTAACCTTAATTTTATATTTTATTTTTATTTTTAACTCTACTTTGCTAAAAATGACACTTTTTTTGGCATATATTTTTAATGTTTTGGTAGTATTTTAGAAGCATTTATGTAATTATTATATTATTTTGTAATGGTAAAGTACCTTTATATTATTTTTGTAATGTATTTTAAAATAGTTTACAAATAGACAACAGAAATATTACAAACTAAATAAATTGATATTAATTTTCTATAATTACAACATTATTTTGTAATGGTAAATTATAATTGTATTATTTTTGTGATGTACTTCGAAATAGTTTATGAATAGATTACAAATAACAATAGAAATATTACAAAATAAATAATTAATAGTTACTCGGCACGAAGTGCTGAGTAACTGTTGTATTTGCAATAAGCAATATGATTGGTAGGATTTACTGAGCACAGCTCAGTAAATTTTACTGATCATATTCTTATTGCAAATACATGTAAGGCACGACAGTGCCACAGTTATGAGGTCACGTTGTGCCGAGTAACTATTTTATCAGGCTTACGTAATAGGTATTTATTATACAGCTTACTAACTGGTTGTACTAACATAAATCACCAATTAGTAAATGCCTGATAAATTGAAATACATTTTATATATTTGCAATAAATTACAATAGTTATGTATTATTTCAGAAATAAATTTCTTGAAATATATTTACAATATTTTAAATGCATATACAATTATATAAACTGTGACTTTAGCGAAAAAATCACCTGACTCTAATAGATCTGCACAAATAAATCTATTCTTTTTTTTTCACATCTTATTAAAAAATTATAATTTAATGTAATAATAAATAAATTTATTTTTTTTAAATAGTATAAAAAATACTTAAAATAAATAAATTATATTAGTGTTAATTTCTGTAAATAGTTGTAAATCTAAAAGTCAAGTAAATATAATGGTTGTAAATCAAAATTACCATCTTTTAGCTAACTACAATCATGTGATATTTACAGCCAATTTACAGCTTATGTTTATAATATTAAAACTGTTAAAGGTTGTAATTTGATATATAATAATCGTTACTCATGGCAACTAACCTTAAATTACATACTGCAATTTTATATAAACATAGGTAGAGATGCTGGGCGAAACTGAAATATTTAGTCATTTGATGAAACTGAAATAGTTTAGACATTTAAAATTAAAAGACAAAATGGCGAAATTTAATATTTCATAGTATTTCTATAGATTTTTTATAAATTTCCATAGATTTTAATTATAATAATTACTTATTAAAAAATAAATTTTTATTAAAATATAATATTTTTTAAAAAGAATGTATAAAACTATTATAAATATAATTAATTTTATATATTTTTATAATAAAACTATAATTTTATATAATTAAAATTAAAATTAAAAATTACCATTATATAGTTTACTAGTCAATAACAAAACTGAAACTAGTTGGTGACGAAACTGAAATTTTTGGCAAAAAGGATTTAGGCAGACATCACTAAACATAAGGATCATATTAAAAAAAGACTTTTTTTGATAATCATTATGTCCATTTTTTAACAGAATAATAATTTTATTTTTTTAATTTTATTGCTTCAAAAATGTTATACTTGGCTAAATATACTAATATTATTGACCTGAAAAAGGTTACTAAATGTGTTATTAACAGAAAAAGTCTTTTTGAAACCTTTAGTATTATCTTTCAGAATATGAAATTTACTTGTCCAACCGCTATTAACAACTATGTAAAGTGTATCTTATCTGCTAAAGAATATAACAATACTGAAAAATATGTTAAAGACCATAAAATTGTACTTAAAAAACTTGATATCAAGAATAATGTACAACTCACTTACTTGTTATTTACTTTTACCGCTTTTGCTAATGAATACGAAATCTTTATGAAATCTTTCATTGAGAAAACATTTCAAAAACAAGTAGCACAGTTGGAATCAACAGAATCTACTAATGATATGCCAGTACATGACTATGATGTAAAGTCTATGAATTTGAAAATTTTGGAAAATGCTGAACACCAATCAATGGTTATAGAACTTAGCAATCTAAACAATGAAAACTAATCAATAAACATGCAGATTGAATCATCAATTAACATCCAAAGAGTGTTATAAAACTTAACACCAAAGCCGTATCCTATACCCTTAAAGAAAAAGGATAGATTATTACATTTGCAGAAATGGTTTTCAGGAATTTATATGTAAACAGTAATCGTGATACCACCTAGTAATAGGTAAAAAGTAAACGCGACTAAGCATCAAGTAATAAATAGTAAAGTGCAGCTTATTAAGAAGAAATAAACTCACGCTTCTCTAAAAAAAATTCAATCAGTTATGATAGGATCATATACTCCAGTATTAAAGGATAATATCTAAGAATTAACTTTGTATAATATTCCCTCCATCTGGGCTCAACTTGATATTCTTCAACATCTGGAAAAATGGAGTCACATGATCGTTTTTAAGACAAAGAGTTAGAAGAAATATTTTACAATCACAGTCTCTATCAACTTCAACAAGTGGACTATAAGCTTATAGAATCAAGAAGTTTAAACTGCTCCTTTAAGGGTTTACTTGTTCAAGAGTATCTGGCTAATTGGAATCTTTAATAAAAAAAGAAAAGAAAATGATTTCAAATGGTAATTATAAATTTACCTGAAAATGTAATCATCTTAATGCTTTATTTATTAGACCTTTTCTAATTGCCAATTTTCTATATAAGTTGCAAGGTATTTAAAATTGTTTAGGAAAAGAATACTCACAAGCTTATCACGTATTATAAAAATTGAGCAGATTTGGATAAAATCATTGGTACTAAATTGAATTTGCCAGAATATGAAGGTTTTTGGACTCAGTATTTCTTACCCTATAAAAAGTATTATACTTAAAATATATTTAAAATATATTTAAAATATACTTAATTTAAAAATTGCAAAATACTTAAAATATATTTTTAATATATCTAAAATATACTTAAAATTATCTTAAAACATATGTCTAATATATTTTAAGATAATTTTAAATACATTTTAAGTATATTATAAGTATTTCGCAATTTTTAAATTAAATATATTTTAAGTATAATTTAAATATATTTTAAAAAGTTTTTAATTATATTTTAAATATAAATACTTTTTAGAATAAGAAGTACGAAGAAACCTTCAGACCAGTCATGAAGGTAGTCAAACATAAAGCGCGGCTCCCTACTAGTTGTCACGATAATATTCTCTTACATTCTGCACAAGGCAAGTTAAAAAACCTATGGAGAAACCAAATAGCTGCGCAGATTATGGAATTCCTGGTAGCTCTAAATTCACAAACGAAATAAGCAGACATGCTCAAAATGAGATTAAAAAAAGCACAATTAACGTTGAACATAACGTCGTGTATCTTAACGATCGACCTCGACGTCACAGTCCCGAATAAGATGTTGAACAATCATGCGTACAACGTGGCAAGGAAAGCACATGACTATCTGTTTAAATTCCATCCATTAACGGAGAGTGAAGAATGGAACATACCAATAATCGGTCCAAACGTGAGAGACTTCGTATACCAACAAGCGCCGGAACTGCAGAAAAAAGATAAGGAACTCATTATAAGAAAAGCAGCAGCGCTCTCTGTACACAGAATTTTGCAACTCCTGAATTATGACGCGTTGAACACAGTCACATGGCAACAAATATGCGACTTTAATAGGAGACAAGCAAGAGGTAGGACTCCGAAATGGTTCGACACGTTATTAGGCCTAGTACAACAGTCATCTCAACTTAAAGACCTGTGTAAGATAAGTGTGGAGTCCTCTAACTCAGAAAGCGAGTCAGGAATGGACAGAGGAATCTCAATTAACATTCAAGCAATTAAAGATGACAAAAAAAGTTCCATCCATAAATGGCAGAAAAAAGGAGTTCGTGTATACACAGCAGGACCATACATTAGTAATAGGGCAGATTGACAAAAAGGGCCGGTCAGGAAGATATACAATGCAGCATTGGGCTATTAATGCTGACAACCAGAGAGATGACAACGGAGTAATAATTATACAACGTTGCAGTGGCTGCGTATTAAATGATAAAAGGGTCAACAAAGGAGGTCACGGCTGCTATTTTAACAGGAACCGTCCAGACCTAGCTTGCATAAATAGGATCTCTAGTTGCCAAAACACTCTCAACACTAAAAGTATCAAAGATATTCTGGAAATTAGAAATCACCTTGAGAGACAATATATCCCAGAACGGATACCTGGCCTCATACAGATATATGACTATGATACAGCTCTCATTCAAAACACGTTATCGAATAAGGAAGCCATGATACAACACATAGCGCTATTGCATCATTTAAGGTCAATATTCAATTCATCTGACTAAGGTTGCTTGCCGAAACCTAGGGGTTTAGGCAAGATGGCGTTTCGCCGAAAAGCGAAATTCTGCCAAAACTATATTAAAGTTATATTAAAAAACTGGCGAAACTTTGGAGAAAGGCGAAACTGCCGAAACTTATTATAAATGCTGAAACTCTGCCGAAACTATAATAAATCTATAGTAAAATTTTGACGAAACTAATCGTAGGATTTTGAAGAGGTTTAGACAAGCAACCTTACATCTGACATGATTAACATATATACTGATGGTTCATTGACAACTCAGTTTAATGCGAACTTAAACACCTTTACAAAACATATGGGCACGGGTTGGGTAATACTGAATGATAAAGAGGAGGTGATACTGGAATGCAGCAGCTCAATTACAGAATGGCCTTCATCCACACGCGCAGAATTAGGAGCCATCCTATCAGCCATACTTGTCTTGCAAACAAGACAGAGAGTAAACATTTTTACAGATTCTCAAGCTGCAATAGACAGTATTAATCACACTAGAATAAATCTGACAAATGGAAAAAATAGGATTCGAGTATGGTGTAAAAGTAATAACCACAGTATAGTCAGCAGCATAATTAATCTTGTTGATAGCAAACACTTAGAGTTAAAATTAACAAAAGTTAAAGGACACTCAGGAGTCAAAGGTAATGAAGAAGCTGATAGAGTGGCCAAGAATGATACAGAAAGACTAACTTGCATTACAATTAATGACTCACAACAAATGGATTTAAAATATGACTTATATTGGTATGGTAAAAGAGTTGACAGACACATTAGGAAATTTATAGATAATATATGTGAGTCCACACTAGAGGCAGCATGGTCTTTCAACCGCGCACACAGAACAACTTTTCAAGACACAACGTGTGTGATAGAAGAAAAAGTCACTTGGGCATTATTTAAAAAAAACACAGGACTTAATTGTACAACATCAACAATAAATGACAGATTTATTAAGCACTTGAAATTGACAAATAATCTACTACCAACTTTAGAGATTATGAAAGAAATGAGATACGACTTATATGGGGATGTAAAGTGTAGAATGTGTCTTGAAGAAAATGAAGATGATGATCACATAATCTATTGTCAACAACTTAGAGATAAATGGTTAGTGGTGGCTAACAACACCAGGTATAAATGTGATCAAATGCTTAAAGACTTGCTTTCACAAGAGAAATACCTCCAACTAAATCAAGAGGACACACAACAATTACTTTTGTGGAATAGAAAATTTTTTGTTCATACAACAGATTCAAATCAAGAGTTACCTATTCCCCATGCACAATTAATGATAAAGAATTTCTTTCCAAAAGAAAAATATAGAGAAATCAAGCTTATTGTTAAGTCAGAAAAAGCTACACTAACAATTACTACCCTCCTTTTAGAAATATTTGTTAATGAATTTTATAGAATTATTTGGCAACCACGATGCAACTTAATAACAGAATTGGAACGCATAAAAGGAATCAAGAAGCAAGACTTAAGTAAGAAAATACCAGCACATCAACGTATTATATATGAACGAACCCCAACTCAACAAATAGATGGTGCTACATATGACTTAAAGGGAAGGAAAATTCTTAAACATAGTGAATAATGGTCAATTGCTCTTGGAAAAACTAGACAATATATAGATCAATTTATCAGAGAAGGAAATAGGGTGATTTGGAAGGTATATAATAATATCAAAATGTACAAATACAAATATAATTCTTCTTTTTGTTTAGAGGGTAGTGAAAGCACATACTGAAGCCATATGATAATAATGATCCTATATAATCTGATAGCTACTATAGGAGGATATAGGTGAATTTTATATTGGTGATGATTAAGGATGGTGCCGCAAATATGTAATTGCGGAATAATTGCGATTTACGGTATTGCGGAACATTGCGGATTTTTAAATCTAAAAATCCGCAAATCTACAAATCCGCAATTATCCGCAATCCCGCAAATATTCCACAAAAAAAACTTTCTTTTTTTTAATAAAATATAATTACTACTAAAAAAAAAAATATTTCTATTTATTATTAATAATAAAAGAAATTATTTTACATAAAAAAAAATTTAAAAAAACGCTGGAACCTATAGTTCCGGCGTTTTAATTAAAAAAAATTTAAAAGAAACCGCCGGAACCTATAGTTCCAGCGTTTTTACATAAAAAAAAATTAAAAGAAACCACCAGAACTTATAGTTCCAGCGTTTTAATTAAAAAAATTTAAAGAAAACGCCGGAACCTATAGTTCTGGCGTTTTTATTAAAAAAAATTTAAAGAAAACGCTGGAACTCATAGTTCCAGCGTTTTTACATAATAAAATTAAAAGAAAACGCTGGAACCTTAGTTCCGGCGTTTTTATTAAAAAAA